AAAAATCATATGGACCTGTATTTTATGAAATGGTTGCGAACGCCTGCAATACAAACAATGATATGATAGGATTTAATGAAGATGTTATGAGGTCATTGGTGGATGATGGTAGTGTGGAACATAAATGGGATAGCTATGACAACACACATTTCTTATGTGGTTTTCCAACAGAAGTGGACTTTTGCTTCCAGCAAGGTCAAACATCTACTGCTCCAATAACATACAAATTGTCTGTTAAAGGACCTATTGAACTAGCAACTGAAAATGTACCAAAGCCACTTATTGGATTTATGAGGGATGGTTGCTTTGCCATTCAGGTGCGTGCTAATGGCATCCCCATAATAAGATTAGATGACTATAACTTAGCTGCGGACGACAGTGAGGAATAAAGGATGAACGTTTATTTTTAAAGCTTATAAATGAGTTCTTCATCAAGCTCTCGTGAACCTTCACCATCTGTGAAACAAACTTTACCAAACGATTATGGAGCACCTATTGAATATTTCTTACGAGCTGCACAATGGCAAAGAGCAGTCTCACCAAGGTTAGGTGTTCCACCAGCTCCTGTCAAAAATAGCATTTGGTCAAGTCCTTATATAAGATATGGTCTCCCATTAGGTTTGCTAGCTACAGCAGGAGCAGTTATGATGTTGAAAAGAAATAAAGCAAATGTTGTAAATAATACTGAAGTAGCTGAAGTTAAACAAACTCCGACACCTTCGCCAAAACCAACGTCAAAACCAACGCCTTCACAAGCAAAACCTTCAATGACTCCTGAACCTATGGAAGTACAAACTCCTGTTCAAAAGTCAACTCCTAAACCGACTCCAACATTTAAACCAGAACCTACTCCTCAAATAAATCGTAAAACTCCTGCGTTTCCTTACTGAAAAAATAACGTTATTTTTATTTAATATTAAAATTTTTATTTGATTGAAATGACAAATAAAGTCACTGAAGCAATGAAACAAAAGTTTTTGGTAGAATACATTAAATCAGGAACTATTCCAGAAGGTTTTTACATTCATACTATGAAGGATGGTAGAGTTCAGTTTAGAAAGATAAAGCAACCATTAGATAAAGAAGGAATTTTGAGAAAGATTAAACTTCATGAGGACAACATTGCTGAACTTAAGAAGAAGCTAGAAGAGTTGGAGAAGGAAGAGAATTATAAAGCAATGAATTCAACAGGGTAGAAAAGACCCAAAGGGTCTCGCCGCTTAGCGGCTGAGGTTAGAAATCGGGTTAGATCTAACCATCTACCCTAAATTTATTTTTGCGCTATGTTTTCATACGTGTGAGGGTGGTGATATCATTAATTTTTAAGTTTATTTTTTATTTTATTTTTATTTTATTTTTATATAAATGACAGAACAAAAGCAACTCATACAAATCGAAAAATATAACAAACATACATTTAAACATTTATTCTTCCTTCCTGAGTATAACATGTTCTTTACACTTCATCCTAGACCAGTAGATTATACATTGACTGTGTATAAAGATTGTCATGGTAGTTTTATAAAAACTTATGATGATGAAGGTAAGTTAACAAGACTATGCATTTCAAAACTTGAGAAACTTTATGACTTCAAGTATGACTACAATAGGGTTAACACTGATGATGAAGATATTGAAGAAAATTTATGAGAACGTTTATTTTTTCATTAGTGAGTTCGTTAGTGAAAATGTTAGTGAGGTGAAGTGGTTGGCGGCTTTGTAAATATTTAAGGTTAAGCTAGTTTTGCGTTTGATTTGTAAAATATACGTTAATGGTTTTGTAAAGTGTCAAATTCACATATAATGGGTAAGGAGGCGCGCAGTGCCACCATACCCAACTAACCCATACTAACTAGGGATGATATATCATTTATAAATAACATTCCTGATTTAAAATTAAAAGATATATGTCACTTGAATACAAGAGTCAAAAAGCAGACATGTGATATATCATTTGAACAACTCAGGAAATTAGTCAGACTAAGGAAATAATTTATAAGCATTTAAGAAATCCAATAAGTAAATTTTCTTGAATATGTCTTGTAGTTATTTATTAGATTATGAATTGATGATGAGAGCACATAGTTACAGCCAAGTTTTGCATTTTATATATATCTACAGTTCTCAGTAATTATCATCGAACAATTCAATTTCATTCATATTCGATATTTAATGCTTTTTTTATTGGCTAAAACCGATGCAATCCACTCATCGATCAAAATATTTGATAGAGGGATATGAGTCACACAATCCTACCAATCATTGAAACGTATAGATAGCTTAAAGAATGAAACTAACAATCAGTTGCTAATAATTCTTTTTTTTGTAATTATCTCTCCATGTTTTTAAAAGACTATAAATAAACAAATCAATATTCTTTGAAGCATAGTATTCTTGCTTTTAAATGATATGATTATAGGGCTGTACAAAATCGAGAAAAACATTGCCGTGCGGTAATATAGGGTCAAAAAAATCGCGCCTCGGCGGCTCAGCCGCCTCGGCACTATTAAGTGCGCATTATATTTAATATGTCCTTCTTTTTTTTCTTTTTTTTTTCTTCTTCTTTTCCTTTCCTTCTTCCTCTCCTTCCTCTTCTTTCCTTCTCCTTCTCTTTTTACAACAACGTCGAAGATCTTCGAATTTGATTGTTGGAAAAGCATCTATTTCAGATAAAGGATGCCTTTCTCACAGTCAACATACGAGGGTCCTGGCTGAAACGTTCTCAAAAAGCCTGAGATGGTAATTCTCTGATCACTCATAGCTGGGCAGGTAGTCATTGCTGACAATACCTGTCTTTATGCATGCACGCTTTCATGTATATGGGTTTACACTATCAATTCGCAAAGTTGTTCCGAATTCTTCCAAAATGGAAGGACCCGAAACAACTTTGCTTGTTAACGATACAGACGCATTACTTTGCATTGATACTGTGCTGAGTTGTGTAGAAAGTTTGATTAGAGTTGTTTTGTTCTGGTATCTCTCATCTTCTGATGAGAGAAATCAAAGCAACACAACTCTAATGAGTTTGTTTTCACTCATTTGTATGTAGGTTTTTAGTTCGATTGGAGCTGCTTCATAATGAGATCTCTCATCAATTGATGAGGGAGATCATAACAAAGCAGCTCTAATGTATATGCTCGTATTAACCGGGTTGTAATGCGTTGTAACGTCAGCTTGTAGTTCGTTTGGGGCCACTTCACATTGAGATGAGAAGAAATGATTAAAGGACTCTGAAAGGCTTTGGCCGTTGATGTTGTAATCGCATTACTTGGAACTAGCTGGATGCTAAGCTGTGTAGAATGTTCGATTAGAGCTGTTTTGATATGATTTTTCTCATCATAAGATTGGAGGAATCATAGCAAAACAACTCTAATGGGTTTACCATCATCTACTTGTATGTAGATGTTTGGGAAATTGTCTTGTTAATCGATTTTCGAGATGACTTTCAAATGCTATCATCAAATGACAAACAAGTCTAAGATTTCTCGACAATACATCAAATCATGATGTTTGTAAGTGCGATGAGATTCGAGTTTTTGAAGGAATGACAAGAGAAGTAGGGAAGCTCGGCATTCGCCGAGCAAATTAAAAATTAACGTATGGATTAAATTTTAAGAGGAATTCAATTTTAATTACGGGTTGTTCAAATATTGATTAATATAAATTTATTAATAAGAATAAACAATTTTTGTTTTTGAATTTATTCAATTTATAGCTTTACATATAGTTTCAAAATTGTACAACTATGATTATTTCAACAAAAAATATCTTACTTTTTCACTTCACTTTCACCCTCACTTTTTCCGTAATTCAAATTTCAACATTATGTATTTTAATTCCTTATAGTATTTTTAACATAATTAATCAAATAATAATTGGAAGTTCTGAACTCACTTTTTCCGTAATTCAAAATCAAAAATATGAATAATATATCTATTTATTATATACTAATGCTATTTTCAACTAGAAGTGAGGTACGGTAATCTTACGGATTCCCGTAACTCAATTTTACGGGAAAAGTGCAGTAAACTACTCAATTTACGGAAAAAGTGTCGTAAACTATTGATGTGGCGGTAAAATCACGGTAATTCACGGAAAGCTATATGCGAAAATTTGAAATTATACAAAATCGAGCGAAACACTTTTAAATAGGTTGTTCTCGTATTTAAAATACTATTCCCAGATTTATTGTCGTCAGAATATTTCCAAATTTTTGCCGATTTACAAAAAATGATTTACAAAGCATATTTTTAATCTAAAAAATTCCTAAAAAAAGGAACCGGTGTGCGGAAACCTCGGTAAATTACCGCGGTTCCCGTTGGGACTGCCATAGATATGATATATGATAAATCATCATACATAGTTAAAATCATTGCATATGAAGAATGACAAGATCCTCAAAAAATACTACAATGGAAGACATTTCTCTCATAAATAATAATAGCTTATTTTGTGTATTTAATAAATGTTTATTCTGCTGTTAGATTATTTGAAAATATAAATTTACAACATTAATTTTGCAAAAGTAATTATCAAAACTCTACAAAGCTTAGTGGCTTTTCATGTAGACTCAATACCTGCGAATATTTACTGGTCAAATCCTAAGGTTTTTGTATAATTTATTTGCAATAAGATTTAATTACGACCAAAAAGTTAGAATCCAAGCTCAAGACTTCGCGCAAATAATTGACTTGGACAATATGTTTAAATGAACCAAAGTTGTATTTTTTCGAAATTTTTTGCTTTCGAGATGAAAAAAAAAAGCTAGGCTTTCTACAAAATGTGATCTGATTGACGATACAAACGGCTTGGTTGGAGAATCCCCTTAATGTACTTTATCCATTCCTCCAATTACATTGAAAATTTGAAATATGCTTTAATATCATATTTCAATGATAAAAATGTTTTCTATTCGGAATAAAGTACATTTTGGATGAATATGATATCGATGATTTATTTTTGGGGAGATTTTGGTTTCTCCCCCTTCCAATATATATTAAATGTCACAACAAAAGTTTAAAGCGTCAGTGACACCATATGCCGGCCTTAAATCTTCATGTCGGCACATTGCTTCCCAGGAAGCATGCACTGATACAATTAGATTTGTTGTAGGATCTTCAGTTGTCGGAAAAACAAATCAACTTCAAATTATTCAATATGATGATATGCAATCCACAATACAATGCATGCAAACACTTGAACATGCAAACGAAGTTCGTTGGATCACATGCAATCCAACAAATGAAAAAATATTATTCACTGTTTCTTCAAATCCTCAAAATAGACAAACTCTCGCAACTTTATACAAATTACCAGAATTCAGTGCTACTCAAGATACTCAAAAAATGGAAACTATTGCAACATTTGAAAATACTCCAGATGCAACACGTGTTCATTATCTTCCTAACGATCAAACCAAATGTTTGATTACAAGCAAGACTCATTTATCAGTTTATGATATCAACGATCCTTCAAAGCCAATCAGTACAAAGAAAATCACAGATGCTCAGATAAACGCATCAGCTCCAGACCCACTGCACCCGAACACATTCGCCACAGCCTCCGAAGATTCCATTAAACTATGGGATATGCGTGACGACAAGCTCGTTTACGAAATACAAAAAGCACATGCACCAAGTGTTTTAGATATCTCATTAAATGAAAACAAACCATGGTGGATATGCTCAGGAGGTAGCGATGGCTCCATGAAATGCTGGGATTTCCGTGTCGGAAAAGTCGAATGCGAATTTAGAGCCAGTAGCCACTGGGTAACACGCGTTATACCTTCTACATCCCACGAACAGCTCATTCTTACTACAGGAACTGACTCAAAGGTCAGAGTTTTCAATGCACTCAAATTCGCATTCCAAAGCGAAGGAAAACTATCGGACGGAGAGATCGTAAAGAGCATCAGACATGATGACTCTGTGTACTGCGCAACCTGGGCTACGTCAAATCCTTGGGTTTTCGCGTCAGTTTCTTATAAAGGACAGGTCAACGTTTGCCAGCTTCCATCAGAAGTTGTCGACGCAATTCTTATGGGCGACGATTCCGACTCAAACTAAATTTCCGAAATTGTCCATAAATTAATGTAAAATCTTCTATATCTCATTGTAAAACTTCATTTTATATTATTTCATTTATGAGCTATGATTACTAGTATTATTTGAGATAACAATTTAAAAATATCTCACATTTTTTATAAGCATAAGGCATTTCAATAGCATTAAAATTATCTTTACCAATAAATGAACTGAAATCAAGGTATTTTGGTAAAATAAAGCAGTTTTTGAATCAGAATATCAAGAAAAATAAGTCCCGGGGTAGGCGACAGGCGATGAAACTTTAAGTATGAAAAGAAGTTTATTATAGTCAAATAATGCAGTTTTTTAAACATAATAACTTGAAAATTCTAAATAACTAATTTATTTAGTGATCATTAGTCTAAACTTTAGTTTTATGTAGTGAAATGAGAGGTATCGATTATGTAAAAATGGTTATTTTGTATGAAATATTGTATGAAATTAAATTTTTATACAAACAGTTAAAAGTAATATATAAAGATATATACAATCAGGCAATGTTTTTGATATCATTCGTTTTAATTTTTGATATTTCTTTCTTTTCGTAATTTTGCAGCAAAATCATGAATACTTTGAGCTCGTTTGTGAAGATCCTCTGAATGTTCATGAGTTTGATCTTCCATATAGTCTTCGAGATTTGTGGCATATCCCACTTTGATAAAATCGTTGTAAAAAAATTTCTTTTGGGAAGTAACTGCAGAAAAGCAACTCTCGGCTGTCTTAAACTGCACTAATGCATAATTGTTTTCAATATCTGTTGTTATTGCAACAATTTCTCCAAAATTGATAAATTCTTTGTAGATTTCCATTGGTTCGTTCTGAAATGGTTCTAATCCTGCAACATATACAATGTAACTATGATTATTTGAGAAATATTTAAGTTTCGGTGCGTATGAAAAAATATCTAATTTATTTTCTGTAATAAAGCTCTGATTTGTATATGTTTCGAATATCCTTTGTGCAAATATGTCGGGACTTTTAATATAAGGAGTAATTTTCGCTTCATATTCTTGGATTGATGAACTTTGTAGGAGTAAATCCTTTAATGTATTGACGAAATCATCCTTGTTGGTTAGAGTTGAATCTGGTCTAATATATTTCATGGATCTTTCTATCCTCTTCTCGATTTTCATTTCTAACAAAGGATTTGGAAATTGCATATGAAATAATGAAACTTGATTTCATCAGAAACATTCATTATATTGTATGTTAATTTATTTTCTTCCCCTAAATTTGTGATTCAAACTTCAGGGAAAAATAATTTTCTCAAATCATCTTGATATGTTGAAACAATGGAGATAATTGATTGTGTATTCTTCTTCTGTTAAAATATAAAAAGTTCTTTATTCATGTTGGAAAAAATAAGGAGGTGTTTAAATTTGTTAGTGGGAAACATTGTGTCATGCACATGTAGTTTCTTCCAAAATAACATATGCAAGCCGACTGCAGTGCATTATTGCACTTTGTCGCTCAAAGATCCACATTCAAATTATGAATGCAGTACATTGTGTCATTCTAGGATTTTTGGATATACAAATGCCCCAGAACGTCCCAGATTGGAACAATGTTCTGGGTAATGATCAGATATTTAAAATGTTTTTCAATAGCGATTCAAGTACAGATATTAAAAACACTTTTTTAATATCCGCGCGTATATAAATCTTGTGACTCCTTTTGTTTCCCGAGTTTACAAAGAAAGAGCATAAATTTTAAGTTGTAAAATGATCCCACTTCAGTACCTTTATGAACTATATCACAACCTGTTAGGGCTGAGAACAGTTGGAAGATAGATTTGCGAAATTTTTTTTTCAAAGTGATGTATTGAAATGATGCTGAAAAAATTTAGGATAACCTTAAACTGTTTTTCTGAGAATGTATCCATCAAAGCTTTAAATTTATGTTTGGGTTACTATCAGATCTATAACGCAGTAAAATGCTTGGCTTTGCAGGATTTTTGTTGGAGTCAAAAAATGTCATTTCAATTGTTTTCTAGGCAATGTTTTTTTATTCGTGTGTTTTGTATTCCGTTATACTCCTTGTTTGATCAAGTATGCTGGAATTTTTAAATGGAAAAAAAATTGAGGAATTTTTAAATTGAAATAAATTGAGAAGAAAGTTTAGTAATTTTAATCATTTTATATGGCGTTATCTTTAGCCATTAATGAAAAAGATGTTGGGAATATATGCCATATGATCAGTGAAGATCAAGAAGACGAATTCGAATCATTTATATCAACAAAAATAGGAGATTCTCAGATATTAAAAATGTTTTTCAGCGGTGATTCAAGTATTTTCTTTTCTACATTGGATAAAAAGCCCAATAAAAATGCAACTATAGCTGATTCGATTATCTATTATAAAGCCAACAATATTTTCAAAAAGTATTCGGATAAAATTAAGGAAAGTTATGATTTTTCCAAATGTTTTAACTCAAAATGTCATGGATTCTATTATATCATTCACAATAAAGACTTTGCAAGCAATGAAAGCATCAATGTTGATCCGAATTTGCTTAAAGCAGTTTTGAAATTGTATGGAAAAAGCATTGACATATTTTTAGACTCATTGATATATGAACAACATTTATTTTATTTATATAATATAGAATCGAAATCGATTAAAAAAGCTATTAAAGAAATGATCCTTAGAAATCCGCATCTTTCCATTAATCAAGCAATTGTTTCAAAAAGTACAAAGATGCTAGATTTAGTAAGTAATTTTCTTACAGACCAAAATTTCAGATCATTCATGAGTACAACAAGTCCACAGCTTACATTATTCCATTATGCAGCACTTACTCTCGATGTTGATGTCTTCATGTGGTGTTTTCAAAAAGTTTTATTTCTAAAAAACGAAGATGGATCAATATCAAATACAGAGGATACAGATAAATATGTATTGGAATTTTTCGAATCCAAGAAAGATTTTTTGATGTACTGCATCAAAAATTCGAAAGATAACCCAACTGAATTTGTTGACCAATTGCTTTCTAATGAAACATTTAGAAGTTATTCTGGATACAAAGGATTGATTCTTCATAGAGACAAAAACAATAATAATTTGTTACATTACGCATGCATGAGAGCAAGTCCTATATTATTTCTGTTAATAACTTCGGAATTTGCAAGTATTATTCACAATGCACCAACAGATGCTTCCATTGACTTCCTTTCATCTAAAAATAATGATGGAGAATGCCCAATTCATATTGCAGTCAAAAATAAGTGCATGGAAATTTTAGAATTAGCATCTCAATATAATGCTGCGATTGGGACGAAAAATATTTTTGAAGATGAGCCTGATAATGATATCGAACGCGTTTTCAAAATGAGTATAGAACTTCTTTCTGAATCGTGTAAAAATGGTAGTAACAATAATGATTATGAAGGAATATTCCAGCCAGATTCGAAAGGCCAATTAATTTTACATATAGCTGTTAATGTTGGTTGGATTGAAGGTGTCAAAAGAATACTTGAAATAGTTGATAATAAGAGCGCAAGTTTTTTTGTTAAATATAAAGATCAGCATGGTTTATCTCCTGTTGCATGGATGGCAATTAATGGACATGTCAAAATGTTAGAACTTGTTCGATCAAAGTTTGGTGAAGATGTTTTATTCAAGGATAAAACCAAGTACTCCAGAAGAAATCTTTTGCAATTGGCAATAACTGAAAATCAACATGAAGTTGTTGAATACCTGATAAACAATACAAAATTTAAGGAAAACATTGATACTTCATCAGGCCAGCCATCACTTTCTGCGCTTCATTATGCTGTTTTATTAGAAGATTTTGAGATGATCGAATATCTCGTTCAAAATGGATGTGATCCAATGAAATCTAAGTTCAACATATTAAGTCCTTATGAAATGACAACTGATGAAATTTTGAGGTGTGCAATGTGTCAATGAAAAAATTCATGCATTTTAATGTTTTCAATTATAATCTTCTCCTAAGAATTAATAAACACTTAACAAGTTTTAATATTTCTAGTTTACATCTTGTTTTGAGAATAAAGATTCAATGACTAAATCACTGTGTAAGAAATGTTGAATGAACTTTCCAATCAAGTTTGTTTGCATTTAATGAAATAGGAGACTTATTATTTTACCATGTTTGAAATAAGAATTTCTGTCATTTCTTTCTGATTATTATTTGCCGCTATATGAAGATTGGTATTCCCCCATTGAGTTTTAACATTAATATCTATCCCTTGTGAAATAAGGATTTCTGTTATTTCTTTATAATTTTGTGAGACTGCATTATGAATATGGTTATTCCAACTTTAAGTTTTAGCTATGATATCTATTCCTTTTGAAACTTCTCTTGTCAAAAAAAAAAATACGGGCGTGTGGGTTCCAAAAAATATAGAATAACGAAATATTTATAGTATGTTATTATTTCAGTTTCGAAATCTACTGAATTATATCCAAAAATTGACAAAAGAAAGAAAAAATGTCGAATCTTGCTTCTTTTGGGTCAAAGGACTTCTCTCCTGAGATAAAAGTACAGGAGATCCAAAGCTCAACGGATCCACAACAGAATCAACATCAAGCTGCTATTCAACAAGTATCGGAATTGTTTAAATCTTCGAATTTTCAAGATCAAACTCAAGCTTTGAAGATCCTTTTGGCATTAATTTCAAAAGGAGTCGACGTATCAGCATTTTCTCCATACGTTGTTCAACAAATAGCTTCGCCAGATCCAAATTCAAGGCAATTAGCCTATATTTATTTAAATCATTACGCAGAAGAAGCAAATGAAACCATTATGTTATCAATCAATACATTTCAGAAATCCCTAACAGATTCTGATCCTCTTTGTCGTGCTTTAGCTGTAAAAGTTTTATCCTCGATCAGATCTCGCGAAATACTGCCAGCAATACAAGATGCTGTCCGCACTGTAATTGGTGACCCATCTCCATATGTAAAAAAGGCTGCAGCTTATGCAATGATCAAAGCTTCGAATCTTGGGCAAGATGACTCCGAAACAGAATCGTATTTACCTCTAATCGAGAGAATGCTTGGAGATCCATCTCCTATTGCGTTTTCAGGAGCAATTGCTGCTTATTACGCCCTCTGTCCGGATAATATCGAATTTTTACATCCTCACTATCGCTATATTTGCCAAAATATATCTAAGCTCGATCCATGGGCACAAATATATACTCTTCGTGCCCTCGCAATCTACGCTCGTTATTGTTTCAAAGATCCTTCATCAATCAACGAAGAAGAGACAGCAAACTTCTGGGATGAGAACGCAAATAACGATTCGATACCTACAGATCAATTTTTATTGATCAGCGCCGCAAAAAAGATGCTTTCTTCGATGAATCCGGCTGTTTCGACCGCAGCTACTTCATTACTGTACTACTGTGGTCCTTCTTCATCCTTGTCGGTCGTAGCTCGCCCAATGGTTCGTTTACTTTATTCTAGCAGCATTATTTCTCAATTAACTCTTACTTCGATCTTAACATTGGCATCGTCGCATCCACAGATATTTGTACCACACATCAATCACTTTTTCATCAGAAGATTCGATACTACTCCTGTTAAAAATATTAAATTACGGGTTCTCTCACTTTTGGCCTCTCAAACCAGCGCCGAACTTATTCTCAATGAACTCAGTCGCTACGCTTCGTCTACAGATACGGATTTCGCTGTAAATGCTGTAAAAACTATGGGAAAGACCGCTCTCTGCAACGAATCGATCATTCCAGCATGTTTAGTATCATTAATCAAACTACTTGGCCGCTCAGAAGGCCCTGTTTTATCAGAAGTCGTAGTTGTAATTTCACATCTACTTTTCAAGCGCAGAGGAACAGAAGATGAGGCCATGGCATTACGCCAGTTGTGCAGGAAATTTGATATCGTCAAAGATCCGACAGCAAGAGCTGCTGTTTTGTCAATTGTCGGAGATCTCTACGAAACACATAAAGCATTCGCCCCGCAATTGCTCAGATACGTCGGCCAGAATTTCTCCGAAGAGCCTGGTGAAGTCAGATTGCAGGCATTGACACTTGCAGCCAAATTGGTCGCATCCGGGGAAGACAGAACCATTCCGATATACATACTGAAGATCGGCGAAAGGGATCCAGAGTTCGATGTGAGAGACCGATCCAAGTTTTTATTGGCAATTCTCGAAAGCGATTCAGATGATATTAAAAATAACCTCAAAGAACTACTATTTCCGGCCAGAAAGACGCCAAACTGGACATCAACGACATCGTACAACAGTGAATTCATGATAGGAACTTTGTCTCACTTCTTAAACAGAGCTCTTCCTGGATACGAGTCATTGCCTGACTGGGCACCAGAAGAAGAGATCCCAGATGACTCAGTCAGGACCCCTCTTGGTGCTCCGAAGATAGGCGGATCAGGAAAATCGAATGTTGCCACAAAAGAAGGACTGAAAGAGTTCTTTGATGGAGAGCAGAACAAGGATGATGATGAATATTACTCGGATCAGTACTATAGTGATGATCCAGCAACTATTCAATAAGAAAATTTTATGTTTTAAAAAATAGAGTTTAAATATTATTCGCAAAACTATCTTTTTGGTAATAACTGGTTTTGTAACAATGAGAATGTTATTGTTATGTATTGATCTAAGCTGAAATTCATAATAAAAATTTCCAAAAAAAATTCAAAATTTCAAAAATGAAATGAAAAAAACACAATTTTTCTATGGAAAAACACATTTTTCAAAAATTCTTGATTTTTGGTGAGCTATTAATTTTGCTATTTAAGCTAATTTTGTTCGATTTAACTTCGTAAACTCAAATTTAGAAATCATTCAAAATTAATTTAGCTTATTTCGAACTATCAAGATGGTTTTTCAGAGGAATATGGCATTTTACTCCTATGTTTCTACCTTTTTCTAACAGTTCAATTTTGAATCTGAGAAATCGTTTCCATAATCTGAATTACCGTCTCAGTTCAGAGAAAATATTTCATTTCAGACCATAACACCCAATCGTTCATCAAGTTTTGATTGTCATCGGATGATTGATCACAAATCAGAACATTCAGAAAATCAAAATTGAACCGCTTCGGAATAAAAAGTAATGGATATTACCAGACTATTAAAATGTGCCAAATATTCTCGATGTTAGTTTACAATTTATCAATGATTTGTGAGAAAAACGATGAAATTTATTAATGGTTAGTCTCGCAGCCGAGCTTGCTCTTGCAGGCCTGATGCTTAGCACTGGCTCCCTCAACACTATTTCCAAGAAAGTTATGTACCAGACAAGCGGTACAACAATTGACGGCGGAATCGAATTATATAGAAAGCCATGGCTTTGCACTTTAGTTATGTTTTGCGGTGAATCAATGTGTATGTTATTCTTTTATCTCTTTGCTCTCTATTTCAAGTGCACAAAGAAGAAAGTCGAAGATGAAATCATTTCCTCAGTTTCAGAAGTCAGTGACAAGCCAGCTGAGCCAAAAATTCAATTTGTCACACGTGAAGAAACCGAATCAAACCCAACAGGTGGCCTTAACTGGAAGTTCCCGTTCTTTGTAACATTATTTGCTTCCTGCGACCTTCTTTCCACAACATTCACAGGTATCGGCCTCGTCTACTGCAATGCCTCCGTTATTCAGATCCTCCGTGGCTTCGTTATCGTTTTTACCATGCTTTTCGCTTGGGTTTTCCTTGGCCGCAAGCCAAAGCTCAACCAGGTCGTCGGTGTTCTCTTCGCCTTACTCGGCTTGTGCATGGTCGGTGGCTCAGCCGTCGCCAGCGATGCTACAAGTGGCAAAGAACAGCATTCCGTCATGGATACACTCCTTGGTATCGGTTTGACCCTCTTATCCCAGGTTTTCTCCTCCATCCAGTTCGTTTTCGAGGAGAAGCTCCTCAAGGGCGGCCAAGTTAAGCCAATTCCATCTTTATTCCTCGTCGGCTCTGAAGGTGTTGCCGGCGCCATCTTGTCCATCGCCGTTGCTCTCCCAATTGTCAACGCAATCCCAGGCAAGGACCACGGATCCTACGAAAACCTCAAGAACTCCGTTTACATGTTATTCCACAACACACAGATCACCGTCTTACAATTCTTATACTTCATTTCCATCGCCTTCTTCAACTGGTCGTCATTCGTCTACTCAAAGGCTCTTTCGGCTACAGCAAGAACATTAGTCGATGCTTGCAGAACAATCGTCGTTTGGGCCACAATGGCTTCGATCTTCTACCCAACACACCACAAGTACGGTGAGGGCGTGACCCTTTGGTCTATCCTTCAGGGCTGCGGCTTCGTCATGATGCTCCTCGGCACAACAACACACAACAACATCGCTGGTGTTGGCGACAAGGTTACTGGTTGCTGCAAGAAGGAGGAAAAGTTGGATCCTCAACCTCTTCTCAAGAATTAACTTATAAATTTTCTTTTTTCTAGTTTTCTCTCTAAATTTATAATCTTATATTTACAGAGTGTTTCATACATCTATGTAACTATAATTTTATTGATATTTCATATGAAAATTTCAAAATTAACTTCTGAAAATATGAAATTATTCAGCAATCCATGTGGAAATTAAGAAAATATCACTAAATTTAGATATTGAGCCCATATTTATATAGTTTTAAATATATAATCATAACTATTTTATAAGTTTTGGATGATAGATGTGTAACATAATCACAATTCTTGATTAGTTACAGTTACAATGAATCTTTTTGATAAGCTACTTCCAAAACAGTAAAGAGAAATATCTTATAAATAATGATTTACTTAAAATACAAGTGGATTATTAGTAATATATATCTTAATACCACATACAACAATATATAAAATTTCTTATTGAGATTTCTTCTTTCTAGGTGAAACAGGCTTATTTCCATAAGCCAAAGCATCAAGTCTCTGTAGTTCTTCCCTAAGCTCTGAGTTATCAGCTTTTAATCTGAGTATTTCCGCCTCAACAAACGCCAACTCTTGTTCGAGAGCTGCGTTTTCTTTCTGAACTTTTCTGAGATATGCTCTTCTTTCTGCCTCTTTAGATTTCTCTTCTTCGTTAGCCCTCTTTGACTCTTCAACAGCACTTCTTAACTGTTCTATATCTTTGATTGTTGCCTGTAATTGAGTCTTGTTCTGGCGTTCGATCTGAGCGTATTGGGCTTCGAGTGAATGAGCTTCTTCCGTTACTTGTTTTAACTCTTCTTCAAGGGCTGCCTTTTCTTCGGCAAATTGTGCTTTGAGTTCAGCAACTCTCATGTTATGTTCCTTCTCTTTCGCATCGAGATCTCTTCGTAGTTTCTCGGCTGCTTCGCGTGTTTCTCTCTCTCTGTTATCGAGTGCTTCGCTGGCGGATTCAATTGCTTTTGTGGCTTCTTCCATCTCTGTACGGCGTTGCTCTGTGAGACGTGCGAGCTCAGCTTCTAATGTCTCGACACGCGATGCGTATTCATCTGCAATAGCTCTTGCACGCTTGAGACGAACATCACATTGTTCAGCAGCTGCGAGAGTTGATTCAGCTGTTTTTTCGCGAGCTTCTCGTAACTGGTCTTGTAGTTTTCGAAGTTCTGATTCACGTTGTGTTCGCAATTCTCTTTGTTTTGTAGCTGCAATTTCTTCAGATTGTTTGAGGGCTTCTTCGAGCTCTTCACGTAAACTATCTAATTCTTGTTGTTGTTTTGCTTTGAGATTTTCTATTTCTTGTGCATTTTTCAGTCTAATTTGTTGTAATTCAGTTTCAGAATCTGCTTTTGCTTGACTTAACTGGTTTTCTAATGTAGCAATTTCTTCTTCAAGAGTAGATGCATTCTCTTTTGCCTCTTTATCAAGAGCATATAATGTTCTTTCGGCTTCATCAATTTGTTCGTTAAGTCTTCGAATCTCTTCATCCTTTTGATCAATTAAATCCTGTGTTGCACTTTGTAATGTATCTAGCTTTGAACGAGTTGTTGTCTCATTCAAACTCTTGTTGAAGCTAAGCGTAGTTGAAACACTCATTCTAAACGTGCACTAAATCAAGTTTATTAATTCTCGCGTGTAAACTATTGAATTGACACAAAATTTCAATATTTGGCGGATAAAATAATAAATTATGAAAGAATTTGCGACATTATCAACATAAAAACTACACTCAAAGTACATTAATAATAACTTATTCATTTGATCTTATCTCGAATTTAAAAAAATCTTTTGGATTTTATTAGTTTAATTTAGATTATCTTAGGTCATCTATAGCCTTACACTAAGCTAAAACCTTTAAATATATCTGGAATAGATTAATATGCAATATAATTCAAATGCAAAATTAATAAATCAGCAACTAATATCATATTTATCATAACATGACACTTATTACATTCACAGAAGTTATAAATCTTATAGTCACTTGATCTAAATTCCAGTTTAAACCCAGAGCACATTTTGGTTTGACAAGTCCAAAAGTGACAAAAAATTCAATTAATCGTCATTGATAAATCTCAAAAATTATTACAAATCTAAGAAGTTCTGTCCATCATACAACTCAACACACCAGAAAATCAGTGAATGAAATTTCTAGCAAACAGAGGACGATCAACATATCGTCCAAATTACCCCCAAATTACCCTTTCTTTCAATTGACCATTGCTCTTTCAATGTCATCTTATGCACTTGATGATACAGTATGTCCCGCATGGACCCCATTCATTGGCTTTTTAGGAATCTTATGCGGCATTGTTCTTTCTTGCGCAGGAAGTGCTATCGGCACTGCAAAATGCGGTATTGGCTTATGCTCAGCTTCAGTTATCAATAAATCCGTTATAGTTCGAGCGCTGATTGCTCCAATTATGGCTGGTATCATTGGTATTTACGGACTCGTTTTCTCAATCGTTGTTATGTCAAATATTATTCCTGAACATTATCACATGAAAACAGCTTGGTCAAACTTTAGTGGTGGCATTTGCGTAGGTGTCTGCGGCTTAGCTGCTGGTGCAACAATCGGAATTGCTGGTCAATACGGTATTATCGCTTTTGCTAAATCACCAGAACTTTTCATTGGTCTCACACTTGTTCTTATTTTCGGAGAAGTCCTTGGCATTTACGGAATGGTTATTTCCCTTGTCATGAATAAGAACTCTCCTTGCGAACCAGCTTCCATCTAAATTCCATATATCTTTTAATAAATATTTCTTCTTTTCTTTATAAAATTACCGCTATTTTATTAAATTACTTCAAAAAATTTTGATACTTTTTTTTATTTTTGAAATTATTTGTATTTACTTATAATAATGTGCTTTCTATCTTATAGATATTGCATTTGTTTGCTAGTTGTGATTGCTTATATGATTTATATTTAATTATTTTTATGAGTTGGGATTTAAGAAGCAGTGATTCTAAAATTTTCAATGTTTAATCTAAGATGTATAGATTTTGTGTTTTATGTCCCTTAGAAACCATTTATGTATAAAATCCATTAATATCTAGTGTAAAATATCAAAAATTTCAATGAACACATATGAATTAGAAAAAGTTTAATCTTTTTTGCAAATATAACTCAGTTCTGCATAATCTACTCTCTGTTATTTCAACATGTCATGATAATCAAATTCCCAGCATAATTGATGATGCAATTTACTGATCATGTTCTGCATCAAAACCTACAAAATACATGTTCATTTTACTACATACGAAATAGATTTCTGTTACTTATGATATTTACAAACATTCATAGTCATCATACAGATTTGGCATCCATTGAAAAATAAAGAAAATACATTAGAGAAAAGTTCAAATAACTTTATAAATAAACAATATACTATATATATACATAAAACACAAAATATAATTGCTCACAAGAGTTGTCCTTTGTAAGGATAAACATCAGACACGTCCCAGTTTGTAATCAATGTTTCCAGGAACTTTTCAGACACAATGATATTGTTTGGATTCTTCAGATCCTCCTGCATGATGTTCGGAGCCCAGAGAGCGGCCAGTTTCTTCAGAGACATGTGTGTTTTGTCCTGGTGCTGAACGAGTTCCTGAAGAAATCCGACCAAATAAGCCAAAGTTATGGACTTCACTGGAGGAAGGTTCGCAGCGAAGTCAATCGCTGTTCCATCTTTAATACTCTGAGCCATGTATCCAATCTCTGACTGTGGAACGACCCGACCAACTAACTCTCTGAAAAACCTCTTCAGAAGTGATGCGAGGTCGTCAACATCGGCTGTGTCGAGGACAACGTCGCCCATGTTGATCGCGCGCTCTAGTTCGTCGACAATCTTGATGTTTCCGGTGATGTGGAAGATTCCTTCCCTAGTAAATGCGCCGGCGTCGATGAGGGCTCTGATTATCTGGACAAGGAAGTAAGGCAAGGGACATTGAGGCATGATACGACGCTGGCCCCACATGAGTTCGTACAGGGATACGCCAAATGTAAGATTCGTAGTTCTGTAGTGGATCGGAATTTCTTTGATGTACGCGTCTGTTACATTTTGCATGGTTTCGCCTGTAGAGCATCGGGATGTAAATCTGATATATGTGAATGTACATAAAAGCCGTATCTTTGTGTCTTCGTTCGAAATTGAAGATGCAATATGAGCTTGGATCCAAACTTCGACATCTTTGCTGCACGGGAAGATCGTTGCGATTATGCAGAACAACTCCCATGTGTAGCCAAGAATATCTTTGTGAGGATTTCCGTTCGTTTGCTTAATGAGTTGAAAATAACACTCATCGATGAGTCTGTCGTCCTTTAAAACAGTACGAACGAGCTCTACTGAGGCGTTGTCGTTTCTCTGTTTGCCGTTTGCTCCTGTATATTCCAGAATTTGTTTGAACATATGAATTGCTGATTTTTGAAGGCTGTCTGGGAGGTTACTGAGCAATGGTTCGGAAATACACTCTTTTTCGTATGATGTCAGAGTGTCCATTGATACAGATTGCCTTGAAAAACCTCGATGAGCTTTTTTGAAATGTTCTCGAGCAAAATCTTGAAGAGCAATGCCACCGCTTGCACTTTCGCGTATCTTCGTATCCATGTAATTAGAGTTGGAGCTTAAGTTGATGCTCTTTTGCTGTTTACGAGGAAATTTTTGATCATAAGAGAATATTCTTGGTTTTGCAGAAAGATTTGGATCAGTAGAATTCTCTTCTGATGTACCTCCGCTGTCGTCCTTTGATTCGCTGTCATTTGTGATTACTTGACCTGCTTCTTGCGCGCGATGATATTTTGGATCATACCTGAGAACTTCTTCTGGAATTGACACTTTGAATGTACTACTTGATCCACAATTAAGAATCAATGTGGAAAATCGAGGTCTGGGCGTCCAAGCTACTGTAGAACGATTCATTTTTGACGAATTTGAGACAGAATTGATATCGGATGAATCATATGAAGAACGCCTTCCATATGGCTCCGGTTCAGCTTTGTCTGGATCTGGAAAAATGTCTCCAGTTCGTGGATCTAAAACGTCGCCATCTGTTGGATAAATCCAGCAGGTTTCTTTCGTTTGATTATTGAAATAGTAATATGTCTCGTTCTCTTGATCATAATATGCATAATAGGATGGTCCTTCTTCCTCTTCTTCCATTTTTTGCTGTAAATTTGTCACTTTTGAATTTTTTTAAAGGTGGTTTTATTGTTCATCTGTTGATAGAGGTAATTCATCAGATAAAATATAAAATTTACAAATTTGAAAAGATATAAAATTTCCACTGTTTGTCCGGGAGTTTTTGCTTCACATTAAGGGTTTCGTTTTGCGAAAAAAACGTACAATACGCAATTTCGCTAAAAAAACATTTCGCTAGCAATTTCGACCTTTGACTCCACTCAAGACGTCACTTTTTTAATTTTGCGGTATCATATTTTTGGAAAATCTTTATGAATATTATATAAAAAGTCTCTTTAATATCTATATTTCATATTTTTATCGATTTTTAAAGTTTTTGCGAAAAGTATTCAATTATTTTTGCTATTTGGTCGGGTAAATGTCAGATTTGCGACATTTTCTGATATGATATTCAGATTCTACGTTGATAATAATGCTTATAGAACCCTCTTGCTATTGTGTCAAAATTGCGAAACCGATAGCAAAAATATCTCGCAATATCAAAATTGAGATATAGGTCAGGTAGGTGGGGCTTCCAGGCACTTCGTGCCCTCTAGCCCATAAGAAAACCTAGAGGAGAACTAAAAAAATTATATAGTAAAAAATTAAAGTTTTTATTCGATAAGAACGACATCGCTATCGTTTTCTTCTTCCTCCTCCTCTTCTTCATAGTCAGTATCTGATGGCTCTTTGTCAGCCACATGACCAGCAACAAATATTGAGACAAATTGTTTCTTTGGTTTTGTTAGCAGGAACTTTTGATGGTCGTAGAACACGAATTCTACATTTTGAAAATGTTGTGCTGAGTATTCTGTGAAATGGGAAATTGGAATTGGTTCTCCCATGCCAAAACCAGCAATGGACGCGAACAAAACATCGTCTTCGACTCTTGCAGGTTTGTCAATTGCAACAGTAGTGTCATAAGACGAAATGGTGGAAGTGAGGTGAAGTCAAAAAGTGACATATATTTGGCCGGCTAAATTCCTCTTTAGTTTACATGTCAAAATTACAATAAATTAATTATTTTGCTTAGCAATTAGCTATGTATTAAAACTAAAATTATTACTATTCAATTCTTTACATTCAAATATTAAACAATTCAAATTTAATAACAAAGATATTACAATAAATAAAAAAATGATTAAAAATGTCCCTGAAAATTTTCTGAAAGCTATCTCGTGTTTAGGTCTCAATTTTTTTAGAAATAGAAAAAGATTGGATTTAACTTTCAAACATTATATATAGTTTTGTATATGGAAGCCTTTAAATACAAGTTAATGATATGGAGTTGTATTGCGAGGAAGAGGGAATCAAAGAAATTGACGAAGTTCCAGAATTTTATTCAACAATTCTTAATCAATTAACAAAAACTATACCGAAACTTATCTTACCATCCAAATCAAATCACATTACATACGGAATAAACATTTAATCTTTTACCATTAAAATTATATTTATACGTTATTTAATTTTTTACGTCTAAGTTTAATAGGATAATAGCCGAAGATATAAAGTAACTATAGTTTACAAGCTAAGGAACAAATCAGCATTGAAACTAAAAAATGCTGAAATATTATAATAAATTGAAGAAATACTGTGATAGAATACCTAGTTATACTAGATACTATTATAATATGAATTCATTTGTATTGAATATCGATAATAAAAAATCGATGAAATATTAAAATGAGAATAAATTAATAATGAGATTATAAATTAGAATTATTTCTCTTTTATTTAAAATAAAAACTTAGTTCTATTTAAATTCGATAAAGAAGTACGAAAAAGTTGTATTATACGTATGATGTTGCCCGATGTTTGGTAACACTATTGTAGAATATAAGCATATATGATAGAAAAGCAATATGCTTAATATCGAGTAATTCTAATTTTTTACGAAATTATTCAAATACGTTATTTTTTAAAATGAAAAGATAAGCATACCATTATGCAGTAGTTTGCGCACATATACTATGCTGATGAAAGTTGGTCTCTAATTCGAAACTTGAGTCTGTCAAATTGACGTTCAAGTATTAAAAAGTTGTATTATACGTATGATGTTGCCCGATGTTTGGTAACACTATTGTAGAATATAAGCATATATGATAGAAAAGCAATATGCTTAATATCGAGTAATTCTAATTTTTTACGAAATTATTCAAATACGTTATTTTTTAGTTTCAATGCTGATTTGTTCCTTAGCTTGTAAACTATAGTTACTTTATATCTTCGGCTATTATCCTATTCAACTTAGACGTAAAAAAATTAAATAACGTATAAATATAATTTTAATGGTAAAAGATTAAATGTTTATTCCGTATGTAATGTTGTTGCATGCTAAGATCAGTCATAATGTAAACCTCTCAATTTTATTGTCGTGGGAAGTATCTCAATTCCTTCAAAAAAATTGAAAAACTATTTAATTTTAAAAATATAATACTTTTAATTAGTTAATTAATTGGAGATATTTTTAAAAAATCACTTTTGATAATACTTTTGAGAACTTTAATTAAAAAAATATATTCAAAAATATCCAGGATATCAAGAGGGAATTGTTCCTTATGAGGTATATAGTTATGATGTATACCTCATAAGGAACAATTCCCTCCTTAAAACGAGAAAACTTGTTCGAAATTGTTTATCATTTCGAACAAGTTTTCTCGTTTTTAATAAGAAACTAAAGGCTATGAGGCACTGATTATATATTAGTGCCTCACAGCCTTTAGTTTCTAATAGATAGCTGGGAAACTTTCTCCAAATGATAAGTTATTCAGAGAAAGTTTCCCAGCTATCAAGAGGGAATTGTTCCTTATGAGGTATATAGTTATGATGTATACCTCATAAGGAACAATTCCCTCCTTAAAATCGTAGACATTTTTATACTTATTAATCAACCATTCAAAATCATACTCCTCTGAAAAGTTATTTTATTAAAAATTTAGAATTTTAATAAATATAGAGTTTGAATTTCATACAATACCTATATATTTTCAATAATGGAATTTGAAAACCATTCTCAAAAGTTCTCAGAAAACCTTTTTTTCATTAATTTTAAGAAATCTGAGTATTAAATTAAGTGATAAATTCGTTTGACACTACTTTAATTTTTAAATTCAAAAAATTATATGTGCTTCTTAAAATGACTCAAAAAAAATTTATTATAAAATAATATATAATATTAAAAATCCCACAACATTTTTTACTTTACATAATCGTACTTCCTCGATGATTAATTTCCACTCAATTTCTATCGTTGACCGAACTTAGCATGCAACAATGTGATTTGATTTGGATGGTAAGATAAGTTTCGGTATAGTTTTTGTTAATTGATTAAGAATTGTTGAATAAAATTCTGGAACTTCGTCGATTTCTTTGATTCCTTCTTGAAGCGTTGAAATTTCTTATTGACTCTCTTTTTATAACTTTTGAAAGAAACTGTAAAAATTGTGAAACATGCTTTTTAATAAAAAACAATTTTGATGAAAACCATAAATTAATTTAAAATTGAAATAAATTTTTGAAATCTATGATATTGAATAAAAAAATTTATAGTGTAGATATTGATATAGATATAGATGTTAATTTTAATATGATATTTGATAAAATTTTTTTATCAAAACATACTGATAATAGGTTGACATGTAATATGATATTTTGCCTTGTAAATATATTTGGTCGGCAAAATAACCTAATTACTCTTATTTTGAGTTCACTTCCACCATTTCGTCTTATGATAGTAGTTATTATGTGAGGTTTTCCTTCACATCCTGCAAGAGATTGTACATGATAGATTGCTTTTTCTTCTCCCTCAGGAACTGAAAGTGTGAAATGGAATGAGAGTTCTCCATATTCATTTGCTTCTTCGTAATAGTTGTATGTTGTAGGATACACCAATTGAAATTTTCCTATTCTTGTTTCCCTTAGGTGTTGTCTATATTGCTTGGGAAAACATAAAATAAATTGCTCTATAGCTTGTATTGCTATTAGATTAGTTGTAACTGGTAATTTTGAGGCGAAAAGGTCTACAAGAACACCGGGATTTTTTATGTCGTTTTCAATTGGTTTAACAGATTCTATGACTTTGTTAAACATTTCACTATAATCTGAGTTGTCTTCGACCCCCCAATTGTTAAGAAGTTTATACAACAATTTCAGTCTTTTCATGGCGTATTTTCTTTGAATGGATTCGGGTAGCGAGAGGTTACAGTCGTCGCTTTGTGTTTCGTTACTCGAATATTGTTCAAGAGAAATTAAATCTTGAAATTGTGCTCTTGTTAACATACTTGTAATTTGAGAGACTATATCTTGTTCTATTGGCTGTACATCTGTTTCAGATGTTTCTGTTGTGTTTTGAGAAGACGAAGAACTCAAATTGTTGGACAATTTGTCTTGAATTGTAGAACTATGTGAAACTTGTTCTGGTGCTGTTTGGACAACTGTTTCAGATGTTTCTGTTGTGTTTTGAGAAGAAGAAGAACTCAAATTGTTGGACAATTTGTCTTGAATTGTATGAGGAGGTTGCTTTGGTATTATAGGAGGTCGTAAGGGTTTTGAGAATGGTGAGACATAAGTTGTAGGAACTTTAACTGCAGAGGTAGTCGACGAATTGTTTGCGACACTTGTTCTTCCTTCCATTATGAAAAATGAACTTTTTTTTCGGACCACTCATAGAAAAGTTTAAAATAAACCGTTTTCGTCAACGGAGACCCCTCTATTTTTTTATTTTATTTAATAGTTACCGTTGGCAAACCGTTTCATCTCAAATATTGAATGAACTATAAACGTTTTTTGTTTTCTATATATACTTTTTTGTCCAACGGTAAAACTTTTTACACAACGGTTTTTGAGAGTCGTCGCCGTTGACTTTTTTGTAGAGCACTCAAAATAGTATAACTTTGTCCGGACAAGTAAGGTCTATCGTCGCTACAGGAAAAGTTACAGGCGTTCCAAGGAAGTATACTTTGAGAAGCCTTTTCCCCCTTATAGAATGAGATAGGACGGTTATTTTACAAAACTGACAACACTTTGACCGAGTAGTTTTTTGTGCTGAACAAAAAGTGTCATATAAACATCTGTCAAAAACCGCTTTTTAACTTCACTTAAAATGCCACGTAAGCTACGTAAGAATATACGTAAGAGGAAGGGAGCATTGAAACATCCAATAGTAAAACTGACACCACAACAACAGTTGCAACAACAAATGATGAATGACCCCACTATGTTGCAACAAATGTCAAGCAACCCTATGCTTTTAAACCGAGTTATTGGTGCACAGAGTGGAGGTTTAAGAGCGGCACTTTTAGCGAAAATGGCAGGCTATGGTGGAGCTGCAGACGGAACAGCTTATAACCCTCAAAGTCAAATGAATTTGAGTTCACTCAAAAATCAAATAACAGATGTATCTCATACCGAAATGGCTCACAAAAAAAGTGACATTTTTTGGCGCCAATAATTTGATTTTTCTGATTCTTTCTATTTAGATATATTTATTTAATATTCATATTCCTTTATATTGCCTCATATTATTTCCCATTTTTAATCATATTATACAAATCTTTAATAATTTTTAATGTTTTTTAACACAATGAATATAACTGCAATCGAGGTTTTTGACGATTGATTCTTACGAGAAGTTTTCCAAACTTTGAGTTAATGTCAAGACATTAACTCAAAGTTTGGAAGTCTAATAAGGGGAATTGTAGGCTATGAGGTACTGATTATATATCAGTAGTTAGTATACAAGTCTCGTGTACGGAGGCACTGCGTTCCTCCGTACGCAATACTTGTGAATTTGACACTTTACAAAACCGTTAACGTATATTTTACAACACAAACACAAACACCAACTTAACCTTAAATATTTATAAAGCCGCCAACCACTTCACCTTACTACTGTAAAAATAAACGTTCTCACTTACAAAAGTATTGCAACTCTTCCCATTGCTGTGCTTCACACAATAGTTCATATTCTTCAGTATCGCTGCTGTCGCTCCAATCGTCAGAGTCAAAGTCACTGTCAAAATAAATGTTAGTAAGTTTTGACAAAGCTAATGAAACACGTTTACCGTTTGTATCGTATGCTTGTATAAACTTTCCATTCTTCATTCCTTCATAAACGCTCAAACTAACTTTACCCTTTCTCCCTCGTATCTGATAGAATGTATTTTCACGAGGAACGAAGAACAAATTCTTGAACTCATGACCGTTGTAGTTTGTTATCTCAATAGTTTTCGTCATTTACATCCAAATAAAAATTTTCAGTAAATATAAAAATAAACTTAAAAATTAATGATATCACCACCCTCACACGTATGAAAACATAGCGCAAAAATAAATTTAGGTGAAGTGGTGAAATCTCACCTCTTTTTTCACCTCTTTTTTCACCTCATGAATTCATTGCTTTATAACTCTCTTCCTTTCTCCAACTCTTCTAACTTCTTCCTAAGTTCAGCAATGTTGTCCTCATGAAGTTTAATCTTCCTTAATATACCTTCTCTATCTAATGGTTGCTTTATCTTTCTAAACTGAACTCTACCATCCTTCATAGTATGAACGTAAAAACCTTCTGGAACCGCTCCTGATTTAATGTATTCTACCAAAAATTTTTGTTTCATTGCTTCAGTGACTTTAGTCGTCATTTTACTCTAAATAAAATGTTCAAATAAAATAAAACTAACATTATTTTTTCAGTAAGGAAACGCAGGAGTTTTACGATTTATTTGAGGAGTAGGTTCTGGTTTAAATGTTGGAGTCGGTTTAGGAGTTGACTTTTGAACAGGAGTTTGTACTTCCATAGGTTCAGGAGTCATTGAAGGTGTTGTTTGTGAAGGCGTTGGTTTTGACGTTGGTTTTGGCGATGGTGTCGGAGTTTGTTCAAATTCAGCTACTTCAGTATTATTTACAACATTTGCTTTATTTCTTTTCAACATCATTACTGCTCCTGCTGTAGCTAGCAAACCTAGTGGGAGACCATATTTTATATAAGGACTTGACCAAATGCTATTTTTGACAGGAGCTGGTGGAACACCTAACCTTGGTGAGACTGCTCTTTGCCATTGTGCAGCTCGTAAGAAATATTCAATAGGTGCTCCATAATCGTTTGGTAAAGTTTGTTTTATAGATGGTGAAGGTTCACGAGAGCTTGATGAAGAACTCATTTATAAGCTTTAAAAATAAACGTTCATCCTTTATTCCTCACTGTCGTCCGTGGCTAAGTTATAGTCGTCAAGTCTTATTATTGGTATGCCTGACTGTCTTACTTGTATTGCAAAGCAACAATCCCTCATAAATCCAATAAGTGGCTTTGGTACGTTTTCAGTTGCTAGTTCAATAGGTCCTTTAACAGACAATTTGTATGTTATTGGAGCAGTAGATGTTTGACCTTGCTGGAAGCAAAAGTCCACTTCTGTTGGAAAACCACATAAGAAATGTGTGTTGTCATAGCTATCCCATTTATGTTCCACACTACCATCATCCACCAATGACCTCATAACATCTTCATTAAATCCTATCATATCATTGTTTGTATTGCAAGCGTTCGCAACCATTTCATAAAATACAGGTCCATATGATTTTTCAGGTTCTGCAGGCATATTTCCATAAGCTCCCATGGAAAGCTGAAGATATTTAAACTTAGGGTTCTCAAAATTAACATAATAGTTGTCTTTCTTTCTAAATAGTGCCCAAATACTTTTAACATTAATAGGCGTATAAGCTGCTGTAAATGTTGCACTTGAACTATCTGTATTCTTTGAGAATGAACCATCCATAGGAATCCAATCCATAACTTTAACAGGAAAACTAAAGCCTCGTTTGTATAATGTTCTACAAGTTCTGTATAAATGTTAGGGTCTAAAGAGAATGACTTTGGATGAATGAAACATTCATTAAAATCCATCTTTGTTCGAAATAGTTGCTGGTTTACAGTTGTAATAGTAACTGTTCCACTAGCTTCTACTGCCTTCGTTATCATAGTGAATGGTTCATTCCATGGAACAAATTTATTTGTCGGTGGATTTGAATCTGAAGCAAATGCAACTTTAAGAGTTGGATTGAAAGCAATGATATCATTTACAGATATAGATGTGCATTGTAAGGCGTCGCTACTGAACTTTACTTTAAGCTGAATGTTTCCTGCAAAAGCTGGAATAAATCGAATAGCTTCTAATGGAAGGAATCTTCTAACAGGAATTCTTAAACGAAGCTTAAAATCAAATGATTTTCCTGCTGTAATTGGACCACTAACAATTTGTCCTGTTCTGCATGTTCCAGAATGACTCCATACATCTTCATGTCGAGTCTTTGAAAAAACATCTACTTTCTTTATTTGTTCGGTAGTTTGTGAGTTTGAAGTTATATATGCTTCTTCTCTTGCGTTGTCTTGAGAATATACGATACGACCATTTGCAAGGATTTGATATCCAGCAACTGCATAGAAAGCGTCATCGAAACCAATCCAAAATCCTGGTGGGTTTGTTTTATTGGAACCTGAACCAATTTCTTTATCTACAATAAATTGACCTTCCATTTTATACGTAATGAATGTATTGTAAAGGTCCAACATATTTTCACCAGGAGGTGAGAGATTGAATGTTACCCATGTGTTATCTTTAGCAGTTCCAGGTTGTGATGGAATCTTTGCGTCAGAATATTTTCTATTAGTGTCACCAATTTGAACTGCATTGTCTATGATATCGAAATATGAGCGAATCTGATGAATATGCTCTGCTGGAGTAAATTCGTTTAGCTGTTCGTTCTGCATGTATTTACTTCAGATAAAAATATCTATTTACTTCATTATTCTCACTCTTCTTCTTGGCATTCGTGGTGGAAGTTGTTTCTTGACATTTTCAATGAACTGTACATTCTCTTTTGTCTCAACTTCTTTCACTGGCGGGTCAGGGTTCTTTGACTCGGTTTGCTTTTCAATGAAATTCACGAACTTTGCAATAAGCTCTTGGTTCGTTATTGAAAGAACATCTGGCTTCTTTTCTTCTTGTTCTATTGACTTTTCAGTTTGAACAGAAGGTTTTATATGGGCTTCGTGGACTTCACCCTTGCCATGCACCTTAATGTTGTCGCTCTCTGTATTCGCTAATGGAACCTTTCTTTTTCTTACGTATATTTTACCATCTTTACTCTGACTTACGTAATAGAAAGGATGTTGTATTCCTCTGGCGTCATTTAATATAATAGACTCTCGTTCTGATTTTGACAAGCTCATTTTACATCGGTTAAAGTTTTAATTTAGTTTTTTATCTACAGTCAAATGACTCAGACAAGTCATATGGACAAGACCCAAGGGGTCATAGATGTTGAAGCATTGAAGAAAGAAATTCGTGAGCAAATTTTATCCGAACTGAAGGAACAAAAACAAGAACAAAAGCCAGAGAGACCAAAGAGAAAACTTAGTGAAAAACAACTAGCTGCATTAGCTGCTGGAAGACAGAAGAACCCACGTTTGCTGGCGAAAAAAGCTAGAGAAGAAGCAAAAGCAAAGGAAGAACAAAAAGCAAAGGAAGCTGAAGCAAAGAAAGAGTAAATGGTTTATTTTTATCCAAACTAAATGTATAGACAAATACCTTTATCTGTTGCGTTCAGTAGTGAAAACCCTGACGTCAAAATAAAGGGGAACAGAGTAACGTTTAAGTTTCCAACAGACTGGATTGTGAACATAAATGAAGAGAAGTACATTGGCATAACATCTATGTATATAACACGTGCTTTCAGAAAGGTTGACTTTATACTTCAAGTCGAGATAGAAAATGACGAACAGTCTTTAAGCGCCCAAAACATTCACATATACAAATACTTTAAAGACGATACAACATTGTTGCAATGTATGATTTCATTTAATGAGATGTTCGAGAAAAAGTTCAACATTGAAGTACAAACTTTACAGCCTTTACGTGAGTTTCTTGCACAACTGAAGGAAGGTAGTCAGCCACAACTTATAGACTTTCATTATGAATTTAATGAAAATGAAGATGGAACTCATGACTGTCAATTCATTGTATTCTCACCATTCAATGAAGTCGCTAAAAAGAAAAAAATCCATTACGTATAAGATTTCAAATCTCTGAACCAAGTGATGATTTTAAGAATGTTTTCAATTATGATGCAATGCTTCCGAGGAAAAATGAATTTTCAAAGATTGTAACACCTGGCATTTGGGATAGAAAGCAAGCAATACTTTACTCTAATATAGCCAAAGGCGTTGAAAATGAGTTCATTGGTCATACAAGAACTTCACCACTTCCTAACCCTAAATACTATAAATTAACTGGCTTCAATCGTGAGTTTTGGATAGACATGTTCTCCACTCATGACCATAAATGTCCAGTGTTCTTGCCTCCAGATGGGAAGGACTGTCTCTACATTGAAGCACAACTCTTAAACTCTACCATCGCAGTATTGTAAAATCTACGCTAGCTTTATTTTTATCACGAATGACCTCATTGCTGACAAAAATAAGCCGCTAGCGGCAAGGGCGAAGCCTATGACCTCATTCATGACCTCATTGCTGACAAAAATAAGCCGCTAGCGGCAAGGGCGAAGCCCATGACCTCAGAACTTCAACTTACGAATAAAGCTTGTTTTAGTCGTTATTGAAAAGTTGAACTTTTCAGCAAAGCAAGGTTGACATGACTTACATAAGTCGAATGCAATCTCTTGACCATCATAAAGTGCTTTGTAAAGTTTCATTAAACTGAACTCAGAGTCTTTGTCATATGTTCCAACAGGTATGTGAATGTTCTTATCTTCATTGTAATAGCATTGTATAGCTTCAGGAAACATTTCATTAGCGGTTAAAGCAATAACATCTTGCTTCACGCCTTTCATTCTGCAGTGAAATGCAACTTCATTTAAATCGTTAGTGAGTAAGTCTATGTAGGTCTTCTTTCCACAGAAAATACTTTTATAAGCTAAACTTTGTTTTCCAGGTGTTATTTCTGCAAAGTCGCTATGAAATTGACCAAGGTTCTTTCCTATAAGTTCGCGACCATATCTCTTCTTAAACTCTGCTGCAAGCTTTGGTATGTCTTCATTATATAAGTGCATACTGTCGGTATCCTGGTAAAATATTTGAAGTCCCATATCTTCAGCAGTACAGAATACTTCATTCATAATACGTTTTGACATAGACAGAATATTAACACCAAGTGGACAGAAGTTAAAGTGTCTGCAAATGCTTTTCGTTAGCTTGAAAATAGTTTTATCTGAACCATCCAAACCTTCGAACTTCACTATATGGTTGTAATTTCTTATAGCATATCTTATAGCATCTTTGTCATTTACTATGGTTATTTTTGACTCAATAGGAGATAGAATAGTTTTGCCATAAATGCTGTTCAGAATGAGTTTTATAATTTCTTGTAAGGGGTTTCCTTCTTTCTTATACTTTAACCTTAACTCAAACAACTTCTTTACTTCATCTCTTATTCTCATATCTCTGTTTCCATCGTAATAGTATCCTTGCAACACTTCACATTTGACACATTGATATTTTATGAGGTCTTGTAATGTTATATGGTCAACATACATGAGACAGCAAGTGTTTGAACTTCTTGGAACGTTAAGTTCTGGATTTAGTTCAGGGTCGCAAACTATTAAATGAAAGTGTCTGGGTATACCAATCTCTGTTATCTTAATGAGAACAAAGAAGCCAGACATAAACTTTTCACCAATGGGTTCCTTTTGGTCATCATCGAATAAATGTCTCATGAGATACTCTGTGCTTAACATTTCTTCCTTCAATACTTTTGGAATTCCTTCTAAAGTATAAAGTCTTGCTATAGCTGAAGGATATAATGAAACAGTGTCGAAGTCAGCAATGAGTTTCTTTTTGCTCTTTTGTTTCATGTTATCTGACAACATACATCTTCCACCTTGAATGCATCTCGAAATAAATTCTCTTGGTTTATTTGAGAGGTCATAAAGATTTCCATTCGGGAAGTATACTCTGTTCTCAAACAATTTGTTAGCAATAGAACAAATACTAACGTAGTCATAAACGTTTAAATCAAACTCTTTCAATAAGTCATTGCGGAACTTTACAAAACCTTCTCTTAAAATTCTTACATCTTGTTTGCAGTAAAACGTGCTATATTTTTCTAAGTCGAAGTGGTTTTCATCTATTCTGCAACCTTTGATGGAATCTATGTTTTTCATGAATGTATCTGCATCATGGATAAACTTACATGCTTCAGAAATGACACCAGTTCTGTTGTCATTTGCTAACAAAACACTGCTGTAGTAGTTATATGGAAATACTTCTTTCGGTCCTGTTTGTAAGTTAAACATAGCAGGAAATAGTTTAAGCTTCTTATTTATAACACTGTAAGAGTCTTTTATAATAATTGCCCGTCCTTTATATAAACCAGTTATTTGCATTGTTCGTGAACCTTTAATGATGGGAGTTCCTTTCACTTCTGTCATGTGTCTTAAGATGAAGTTTATGTCATAACTGAGGTTGTGGAAATATATTAAACTCTTGTCAGGAAGTCTTTCCAAAAATTCTGTTGCACAGTTTTGACCCCAAATGCTTTCACTCACTGAACCATCTTCACTGTCATAACAGATGTTAAAAGCTTTATGAAAGCCATCTGTACTACACTCAAAGTCAGCAAAGAAAACGTGCTCAGGAATGAATTTACATTTAGCTTTATTTACTTCTTTTGACTCTGCTTTCTTCTTCAGTTGTACACAATACTTTGGAGCATATGTCAAATCTTTAAATGGTGCAAGGTTCTGTTTATATAAGTCAGTAGTATATGTGAAAAGTTCTCCATAAGAAATAGGTTCGAAATATTTGCACTCCCACAATGTTTTCATAACATCCCATAGCGGTGTTGTTCTATCATAACGAACTACATATTTATCTTCTCTCTTTGTATAAATCTTCATCTGTTTCTCAATGTTCATTCCACCACACTCCTTCAAGATTTCTATATAGTTTCGAATGAAGTATGTTGTCATTGGTAATCTTTCATTTAGCATGTAGTGGTCTTCAACAAGAAGTAAGTCAATAGTTCTAACAGTTTCGCATTCTTTTGGTATATATCTCTTTATTTCATTATGTCTTGAGTCATTGAAATAACCAATGGTAACATTAAATGCTATACCTGTTGAATCGGAAATTTCTTGTACTTTACTTTGAGGAAAGTCTCTAACACGAATGACTTCTCTCATGTGGTCAATAGTTTCTTCATTTACTCCAGCCTGAATGCAAGCATAAACGAAACAATTGTCCTCTGTCATAAGTGTTGCAGTTCTTTTGTTCAGTTCATTGAAGATTTGGTAGCGTTCAAGATTTATAGGTAATGTGCAAAGATACTTCCAGAACTGACCGCTTCTCTTCTTATAAAACTTCTTTTCACCATTATCTTTCCAAAAGCTTTCTATAAGTGCTGGGTTTCCTGTTTGCTTAAGAGCTTCCAAAATGGCTTTCTGGTCATTTGTCAGTGTGCTTTCATCTCTATATGGTCTCTTTTTTGGTTTGCCTTTCTTTACATCTGACATCGTTAAGCCTTCATATTCTGTTAAATCATACATCTTTATTTCGGTAAGATTCTTTATGTTTGTCAAGAAGAAGTCATAGTGCATTTCAACAATACCTGCAGCATTTGCTTCTATCTCTGATATAAAGTTCTCCTTCAAGAGCTGATGTAGTAATGTTCCAATATTATTGAGGTTTAACGTAGAACATTCATACTTTCCACCAAGTTTATAACATACCATCCATCTCTGTTGCGAGTTTATTTTAATTTTCTCTAAGAGTCTCATGAAAACCTTACCGAAATGTTTGTGTAAGTAGTCTCTGTTTGGTTCATCTAAAGCTTCGATGTTAAAGTCAATGAGTCTATTGCCTGACTTCACATTTCTCTTCCTATTCTCTTCATCTTTCTTTAACCATCTCTCACCTTCTTTTGGTTTGTCGTCAATGGAACGAATGACATCGTTAGCTTTGCGAACTTGTTCTATAGCACTTTTAAACATCTCTCTTCTCTGTTGTTTCAGTGTGTCATCTCTCTTTCGTGTTTCACCAACGTTTGCATTTGTTATGTCAAACATCTCTCTTCTTACTTCATGAGGTATGAACGTCTATGATATAAGTCAATAGCAATGTCATTTAAAGGAAATGCTCTTGCATGGACTTCGTCCTCGCCGCGTTGCGGCTTTATGAACTCATGAATTCTATCATAACTTATTGCACCATTATAGTCTTTAATGAAGTCAGCGAGTGCTTTTTTGTTTGTTGCGTAATGCTTTGCAACATCTATATTAGCTTCTGTAGAAGTTGTTTTATTTCCGAGTGTTCTAACTTAGACAACTTCCGATACATCTTTAGTAGGAAATAAAAAAAATATTTTTGAAAAAATTAGATTAGATTTTTTTAAGTTATTTTTCAAAATAATTTAATATTTTTATTTTAATGAAACCATGCAAGATTGCAAGTTCTTTTCATACAATGCTCTCGCTACTGCCATCAAGAATGAGTTCAATAATGCTTCAAACGTTAATGTTATCTTTAACAAGAGTTTGTGAAAGAATCTAAGTTTGGTCAGTATGTCAGACCATTAGCTATCGTCATTGACCGCAAACGTTATACTTCACAAGAGTTAGCAGTAGTTTTGAAACAAAAGGGTTTCTTCGTGAATGTCAAAGATACACACTATACTGTTCATAAAGAACTCCAACATTGACTTCTTCAGTATTGCTATGAATCTTTCCGAACAGAAAGAATATAAGAAGGGTGAAACATCTGTGAAATATTATCCTTCATCTCTGAAGACAATAACGAACAAAGATGTTATACAAAAGTTCTTACCAAAGGTTGAAGAAGCTTCAATTGACATTGACGAAGGAAGTGAAATGGTTGAAGAAATTGACCCTGAAGCTATTTAACCAAAAATATATTTTTGGTGAAGAGGTGAGATATCACCTAGCCGCTTTGCGGCTCTGACCCTTTGGGTCTGTTTTTTCACCTCATTCTCTCTTCGTTAATGTTGTCGTGACTTCTTCGTTAATGTTGTCGTGACTTCATTCTTCCTCTTTGAAGTTATCGAAATATTCTGTTATTTTTTTCCTTCAGTAATGTTAAGTCTTCTTTGAAGGTAAGTATTGTGCAACCTTTGATGTCATAGTGTGTTTGAGGAAGAGTATTTTTGACAATTTTTTTATTTGCTCATTCGGTGTCATTGAAATCGGTAAGTTTTCACGATAGAACCAGTTTCTGTCAGATTTATATATTTTAGCAAGGTCGTAAAAGCTTTTGTTGTTTCTTCTGACTAAATGCAACATAACCATATCTCTATCTTCTTCTTTCTCCAACTCTTCAGTATAAATCATATACTTATAACTCTTTTCCTTTCCTTTTGGTACTGAACGTGGTATTCTTTTCTGTATGCTTTTGTCTTTGGATTCAATGACTTCATCTTTTGCTTGAAGTTTCTTTTCCATCTCTCCACGTTCTGCTTTATATAGTTCATCTAACATCATGAAAATATAACAAGCATAACGAGGTGAAGCCCACATTGCTACAGCATTTACTAAAAGTCTATGAACATAATAACCTTTCAAACCAGGAGCCAAATTCTTGCGATTTTCGAATGGAATCTCTTCCCTCGGTTTTCCGAGGAAGCAATCATATGAGGAAATTCTTTCTAAAAGTTCTTTAGCTGTTGGTTTTCAAAACCAATGATATGCTTGCTTTGTAGAACGAAGAGCGTTCATTATACTTTGCATTTGATACATATCATCTTTGACTGAACGAATGAGTCTCAATTGTTTGTTATATTGTATGTATTCGTATTCTTCATTTAATGGCTTCAATGAAACGATAGCAGTTGTTGTGTTCTCTAATGTTGACATTACTGTTCTTACATACAGGATAAAAAAATAAATAAAATAAAAACTAACTTTATTTTTTCTGAGATAAACACTATTTCTTCACAACATTAAATTTTATCCTGTATGAAATGACTTTAAAAAGATTATTGACTGACTTCGAATACTATCTCATTGACGCACTGACAGACCCTCAAAACTGTGTTGAAAGTTCTTTAAGCTTTAAGATTGAAGGTACGACGCATTTTGTCTTCACTTACGTATTGAAAGAATATGACCGTTATCATAACGAAGTGAATCAAACACTAATAAAATTTGTAGATAAAAAATTGGTTAACATGAATATTTTAAACGTGAAGACCCAAACACTGCTGGAGATGATGAAGAATACAGACAAGTTATTGAAAAAAATAACGCAAGATTAGATGCAATAGAAAAGAAGTTTAATGAATGTCTTACAAACACGTATGAATATCTTATGCAGTGGGAAGCCAGATGGAAATAAATTTACGTCAAATATGCAATTTATAAAATCTTATGTCGACAGGCTACGTAGCACAGTGGTCTAAGGTGGTGTTATGGAGGGGTCAGGGTCTGTGGTTCGAACCGCGACAGCGCCGTATTTTCTTATTTTCTTTATTTGTCTTGTTTGTCGTGAATAAAAAGTGTCATAAAAGTGCTCTATCTTCCACGGGAATAAATAAAAAATTTACTTTATTTCTTCTTTATTTCTTTGTTCCCGTGGAAGAAGGGTTTTGCTGTTTTTTCTCAGCCGAAATCAATGATTTTTTCATTTTTGGAATCCTTAGCGAATGAGGAATCTTTTCTCTCGTGGAAGCTTTGACCTAAAATATAATTTAGGTGAAGAGGTGAGATGTCACCTGTTTTCTCACCTCTTTTTCACCCTCGTGACCTCTTTTCATAACTTCTTCGTAAATGCTTTGTCATAACTTCTTCGTAAATGCTTTGTCATAACTTCTTCGTAAATGCTTTGTCATAACTTCTTCGTAAATGCTTTGTCATAACTTCTTCGTAAATGAGTGTAAATGACCAAAAATATATTATAGGTGAAGAGGTGAGATGTCACCTCTTTTTTCACCTAATTTCTCACCTCTTGAATTTTCATGAATTTCCTTAAGATAGAAAAATAACGTTAGTTTTATTTTTATTTATTTTTTTATTTTGTATGTAAAGATATGATTTCAACAATCGGCACAACAACAATTCAAGCCGCGAACGGCGGGACTCTGTCCACAACAACTTCACCAAACTCATTAGTCATGAATCCAACATCTATGTTAGTAGAGATGAAAAGCTTCATTCCTTCTTCATATACTTTCGAAACAAAAATCCAGAAGATAAAGCAAGAACTTTTAACAAGTAATTTAGACTGTAGTGCGAAAGATGAAACAAATGAACAGTATCTTTATGAAATGCAGGACATTATTGACCATTTACCTAAACTACCTGAAATTCAGCATCAAAAACTAACTATTCCTGAATTCGATGAAATAGAAGTGAAACCAACTGACTCAGTAGAAATAAAGAAGTTCATTCGAAAGGTAAACTATGAGTTTCTAGGATTTCATTGCAACCATAAGGTTATGGACAAAGATTGCGACATGGTATATAAGAATGTTTCTGACATATATAAATCCGGGGAGTTTAAGACCTACGATAACTTTGTTTCGTTAGTTGCTGAATGTGTATGGCAGATAAGAGATAAAGATAGAAGAGGTAAAATATGGAACGAACAGATAAGACCAACTGCTTTTGAGTTAAAGAAAACCATTGACGCCTTAGTTGTTTTAGCAGGTAAGGTTTCAGAATATAACGCAAAAATGAATCCGCAATGTTCTAAATGTAAAGCAGCAATTAAGGAAATATAACTACTCCGTCAAAGAGATAGAAAGAATGCGAAACGACTATGCAGACTTAAAGAAAGAAGCAGAAAAGCCAGCAGAAAATAAAATGGACATGTTAGCATTTCTGAACAAAAACTATCCAACTGCTGACGATTTCCTTCTATCTGACGTCAAGAAGAAATATAAAGAAACTTTCGGCATTGTTAAAACTTTTGACATACTGACAGAAGAAATAGAAGCTACGAAATTGTTTAGGATTTCAAATATACATCGTACAATTCATGTAAAACGCTTGTGAAAAACTGGGGTGAGAAAACAGGTGAGAAAACGGGTGACATCTCACCTCTTCACCTATAATATATTTTTACTGAATTCAATAAAAATAAATGGTTCATTTACTCACAATATTTTTGTACAAAACGACCCCAAACTTTTAACTTCTTTTCTGCAGCTTCAAATGCTATCTTAGCGAGTTCATATTCTCTAAATTCTCTCTTTAAATCTTCTTGTTCCCATTGGTCTAGTTCGTATGGAGAATCTCTATAACCATAATATATCTCACGTTCATGTTCTAATTGTTTTTCACACATTTTTCCAACTTCTTCTTCGAACAAAGGTTTAGCATTCTCCACTGTATCTTCGAGTTCTTCTTCATCTAACTTCTCATGAACTTTCTTGTCTATGGAGTCCATAATTTTTCCAACTGCTATGCAATATTTTGGAGAAGCCCACATTGCTATATAGTTTATAAGTCTTGGGTCTACATACGTTCCTCTAACCTGTTTGATTTCATCAGGAATTCCTGCATGAATTTTGTATAAAAAGCAACCGCCGGAATTCGGACTGTTGCTATATTCTTCACAAAATGCCTTATAATACTCTTCCCAGGACTTATTTTCCAACAACTTTCTAAAGTCTTTCCTAAACTGCTGACACATATTTGTTGCATTAATGTAACCATCCTTGTCTCTACGTAAGACTTCAATACCGTTATAAGTGCATTTTGTGAATGTTTCGCCATTATATTTGTTAGTGAATGTTTTTGCTTCGACTGACATTTCTGTTCTTACATACAAAATAAAAAAATAAATAAAAATAAAACTAATTTTATTTTTTCTATCTTAAGGAAATTCATGACAAATTCAAGACCCTTTGGGTCTCGCCGCTTAGCGGCTGAGGGTGAGAAAACAGGTGAAAAAACGGGTGACATCTCACCTCTTCACCTAAACATGGGCTTCGCCCTTGCCGCTAGCGGCTTATTTTTGGTGTAAATTTATGACAAAAATAAATGGTACCATTAATAATACATGACTGTTCTCATTCATGTCTGATTTACATCCAACGAAAAAGTTTAGAAGAATTTTCTTATTCTTTCTGGCATGTTTTTATCTTTCCAGTACTCCCGCTCTAATGGTCCCAGATGAGTTGGTTTAGATTCTCTCAAGTTCTTAGATGGTATAACATCTTCAACGCCTCCTTCATATCTTACTTTATAAGTGTCATCGTTTATGTTGTAGTCAAGTATTTCAATAACCACTCCTCGCTTTGCTTCGTCAATGGTTTCAGCAAGTTTGCCATTACTACTTTCGACTAATTTATGTCGAGGGTAAAATGCTATGGAGTCGTCAGCAGCTTTTATAAGATATCCATTACCTTGCGTAGAGTCTACGATATAATAATTTCGACTTAACCTTAAACGTTTCTTTGTCAATGGTTTGTCGTCAAGAACTACACGAACTTTTGTACCAGGAATGAGAGTAAATTGTGTTGAATTTCTGATATTTTGTGTTTGGCTTCGTTTCTTTTGTATATACTTTTCTTCTTGTTGTTGTGTCATTGAATTTGGTGTATGTCCTGTTGTAGAATGTGTTGAGGAATTATATACTTCGAGAAAATGTTTCATTGTTTCTTCGGTAAAGTCTCGCTCTTGATTTAAATCTCTGAGAGTCCTTATGAAGCGGTTAATGATACCGAGTATGTTATGGTTATGGTCTTCAGTAGTGTAGTGAGTTATGTTATGCTTAATGAGAAATTCTGTGATTTCGTTGCTGAGGTATGCACCGTCTTGGTCTGATGTTAAAATACTTGGGCTATGTTCTGCTACAAACTTTTGTAAAACTCTTAACACTTCATGAGTTCCTTTATTTCTCATTATATACGCATATGCTTTACGAGTGTTAACATTTATGAAGATGAGGAATGGTTTATGACCACATTTTCTGCTTTGAATGAGAGTGTCAAATTGGTATGCGTCAGGAGTGTTGGAGTAAATTGGTAAAAAGTAGTCGTAAGGATTTATTTTTGTTTGATGTACAACATTTTTGTCAAAGAACCTTTTCACTTCAGCTCTGTTAGTAAATCCCGAACTCTTTGCAGCTTCATTGAACTTCTTAAATGACCTCCATGGATGTTGTTCGAATACTTCTTTCAAGCTCATTTATGTAAAGTTAAAGATTTTATTCTAGGCTCAAGCGCGTTCATTGAACGCGGTACCATGCAAATACAGTCACAAATGGTGGCATATAATCTTCACCCGAGCCTGTTGGATTTGTTGTGAAAGTGTGTGAATGATTTCCTGCGGTTCCACAGAAAATACCTGCGCTTGAATCTACTGGGTCACTTGAAATATCATATCTATGCATTCCCTGTCTATCCGAACCTGCTGCAAGATTTGTATAACCTCTTTTTGTTATTGAATGTGAATGACTACCTGTTGTGTTTGTAGTTCCTGTATGAGTGTGCGGTGGAAGGTTTGCTTCAGTAATTTTCTTCGAACCACCTGTTTGCTTTGAAGAGTTCGCACAGTATAAGAATTTATCTACAATCTGCTCCCACGTACCGAAACCCAGAACTGTTGCTGGATTTATTGAGTTCATTGACGTATAAATAGAGCCTGCAGGATATAATGTTTGAAGTATTTCAGTCTTTAATGTTTGAAGCTCTGTTTTGTCAGCCTTCTTGTCATATAAATCTTGAGCAGTGAATTTAATATTATGTTCATCCTTCATGACATAAACATCTTTACATCTAATGTTTCTCATCGTCGTTATGTTTTCCTCCGATGTTAAACCTTGTGGAAAGTTAGGAGGTTTACAATATAATACATCCCCATCAGGTTCTTCAACCGTTCCTTCAATACTTTCTATAGCAACAGTTGTAAAACTTGTATGTGTATGGTTCTTGTCTGCTTTCTTCTCTAACATTGCTGGTAGTTCATGGGTTTCAAAGTTTCTGGCATGACCTTCAATGTTCATACATTTACTATTTAAGGAGTTTAGTGTATCTTTTACGCTTGTACTTGGATTTTCTAATGGTGCACTTGAACCAAGGGTATAGTTCAATATTATGTCGTCTGCTCTAACAGTAGTGAAGGATTTATGTGTATGGTTCTTGTCGGCTTTACTGTCTAATGTAGCTTGAAGTTCATTTATATCGGAGATGTTGTGTTTATGAGATTTCAAAACTTTGTTCATTGCTTCGAGTTCAACTTTGTCAGCTTTACTTTTAATAGCATCTTCAAACGTTATTTTTGACTTAACTCTCAAAGTAAATCTTGGTTCAACTAATACACCTTTAACAGAGAAAGTAGAGGCATAAATTTCATCGTTATAACTAAATGCTTCTGGTGCTTTACCCGTGTCATACTGTACAGTACAGCTTATGTCATAACCTTTAGCACGAATGTATTTATATCTTCTTTCATTGGGGTCTTCCGTCTTCACTTCATCACTTCGTGTTAAATATCCATGGTAGTCCGTTATAATCTGTTCGTCTGAAGTTATATAATGAACGTGGTTCTTGACTTTATCACTCAGAGCTAAAAGCTCATTTTTGTTTGCTTTTTCGGCTAATTTCTCATTAACATCATTCACTTCTAATTCAACTCTTCCGCCAGAACTCTTATTATCATTAATCTTTTTCATTAATTCGGTAATTACGTCATAAAGACTATATTCTGTTTTCGGTTTTGTAAATAATGAGTCAAAATTTCTTTTCATCATTACATCGCTGACATTAATGATATCACCAATTCCTTTTTCATTTATTCTCTTCATTAATTCTGCAATAATGACGAATATATAATCTGTTAATTTATTCTCTTCATCGAGGGTTATAGAATGTTTTGAAATTGAATCATTAACTCCTCTAAATAAATCAATAACTTCAGGATACACGTTTTTAATGTCTTGAATAACCCGACCAGTATCCTCGCCACTATGTGGCTCTGAGCCCGTTGGGCTCTGTTGTTCATGTTCTTCGTTCCCGTCGTTACGTGGTTTTATATCTCTAACCATCATCAACGCAGCCATAACCGGAGGGTTTGTTGCTACCTGTTCGAAAATCCGTCCGTTATGTATGGTATATCTAAATAATTTCTTTGTGTTTGTTAAAACATTTGAAACAAGTCTTTTAAAACCATCTACAAAATTTCCTGTTTCACCTAATGTTCTTGCAGCATTTACAAGCTCACCCATTCCCGCTTTTGACCCCAAAAACGTCCATATTGCATTTATTTCACTCTGTATAGTTGTCCATTCAGCGAAACTAACACCCGCATTCGCTAAGCTGAAAATGAAATTCAGTGGATCGAACTTAATTCCACCTTCTTTTTCAATTTCAACGAACTCACTAACATGAGATTTTAAATATTCTTTCGTTAAAATTGTTTTCCCCGATGTTATGTCATTAACGAAACTATCACCGTCAAAAGTTAACGAATTCAATTTCGTCGTTGATGCTTTTATTTCATACACCGCTTTATCGATAGTTTTTGGCTCACCTTCTTTAGAAGCATATGAAACATTAATGAATGAATTATATGTATTCGTGAATGAATTAAAATCAATGATTTTCATTAATGACGCCTTTAATGATTCATTAACTGTTGAATCCCTTAAAGTAATTAATGAACTGTCATGGGCTTCGCCCTGGTCGCTTCGGTCTGAAAGACCTTCAGGACTCAAAGAGTCCGTTTGCGACTTTATGAAAGGTACACTGCAAACCGTCGAGTTTGGATCAAATGCTGTAGTTGGTGCAGGAATATTAATGATATAAGTCATTAAATCATTAAGTGACGTAAATAATGTTGTCGTTTTTGATTTAATTTCTTTAGCATCTGTTATATATGGTAATTTTATTTCTGTAGTTTCTGAATTAAAGATATTCGCTAAAATGTTTTGTAAACTGTTTTGAACAGCTGTGTAAACCGTTGAATTCGGAACTCTTACGATTTCACCATCCTTAATAAAAGGCATTGTACATGGCGTAGTGCTTGGGTCAAATCTTTCGGGATTATAATTCAACATATATTCTAACGCTTCATAACAGACTATATATACTGTTGTGTCGTTCTTCATGACAACTTCACCATTTACAATGAATGGCATAGTGCATGGAGTTAAAATGGGGTCAAACTTTTCATAGTCCTTCCATGTTATGTATTTCTCGGTATTTCCATCACTGATAACAATATATTTGTCAGTAAGTGTGAGAGAGTATTGACCAAAATATAAACGTTTAGCTCTGTCAGCTTCATACGCATATGCAGCTATACTCATATTTTAATGAGAATAAAATGTTGTTCTATTTGCAAAGTACAGACCCAAACGAATACGGGACAGTAAAACTACAAACAAACTTAGGTCTACAGAATGAGCCACTTGCATTCAGAATGGTTGACTTTAATACTATGCTTCATTCGTTATAACTGACGAAACAGATTTCATGGAGCTTGAAATAGATGGAAAGAAGCACGAAATAAGATTTCACAATAATGTAGAATATAAGATGGAAACATTAGCTGGAGTGTTAAATGCTCTCATAAATACTACAATAAACAAGGATAACGAGAAAACTTAATGAATGTTAAACTTATTGCAGGAGTTTTGAAGTTCAGTTATGCGAAGAGTTAAGATAACACGAATGAGTCATAGAGTTCAACTTCTTTGGGAGCATACCATATGACATTTCCTTTGAAAAGTGTTGACAAAACGATTGAGATGAAATCTGTTCCATACGTATGTTATGGCAATTGTTTGTACATTGAGTCTAAAATAGCTAATGTCACAGGCATTTCAGGAGTTAATAGTAAAGGTTCAGTAGAATATAAATCCTTCTGTTATGAAGTAAATTCAATGTTCATTCCAAACGTTCCTGTCATAGCAACTCATTTAGGTAAATGGGTTCGCATTAGTCCTCATAATTTGAAAGACATGCAATTCAGACTAGTTGACTTTCAAGGAGAGCCTGTAGAACTGAAGGCACCAGTGCGAATGACTGTTGAAGTAGACTTTTTAGAAAATATTAAATGCAACAGCTTACAAGAGAACTCAGAGCTAAAAATATAAAGTATGAATGTTATGTATTAGGTCATGAACTTTGGTTGTTGCTGTTTGATGAAACAAATGAGTTAGTTATGTCAGTCAAGAGAACAGAAAAAGGCGTCAAAGGCGCCGAGCGCAAAGCGCTATATTGTGTTAGTGAAAACTGCACCAAGTCAATAAGATTAGGTTTGCATTATGAAGATGAGTTCGATACTGTTGAAGAAGTTTTGAATAGATATTACAAATTGCTAACTTGAAATTTTTTTGACTAACGGCGCAAAGCGCCAAGATGGGCTCAAAGAGCCCTCCTGACTGCTTTAATTTACTAAAACATATTTCAAGCAAAGTTTATATTCTGTTGAAAGTTTTGTATACTCGTTCGAATATTTATACTTAAACTCAACTCCTGTAGTTCCTGGTGTTTCAATGATGCGGATGTTACCTATTTTCATGAATGGTGGCGTTTGACCACAGCATTCGATTTCAGGGTCGAGATAGTCAATGACACATTGTTTCCCTGTTATTCGTGAGATAACATTTTCAAGGTCCTCCTTTGTTAGAATTATTTGGTTCTTGCTTATAAGATTTGTCAAAAGCTTCTTATCGTCTTTGAGTAAGATAGTTTGGTATAACTGAAGAAGGTAATGGTCTACGTTATCTGAAGGATTTGTTTGAACATTTGTGTAAGGGTTGTCGTTGGCTTCTCTTGAAAGAATTTGGTCCAGTGGTGGATACTCTAACTTAACATCTGATGTAGCGTTAGCGTTTGAAGCTGAGTTTAAATTCACGGCGCCATGCGCCAAGATGGGCTCTTTGAGCCCTCCCGACTTAAGTTCTGGTTCTTTTTCTTTCAAACACTCCGAACTATAGTTCTTTATGACAATATTGTTTGTCGTTCGTGAGTCAACATTTGATGTTGGTTCAATTGGAACATTAACGGCACCAGCTAAGATGGATTTGCTTCTCATTTCATATAGAATAAAAACCTTTTATATGTATGAAATGAACAATATACTCGACAAGGGTTTGAATGTAAAGCTAACGAATGAAAATATTGTTGAATTCACTGAGACAGGAGCTGTGTATAAAGATGTAGAACTACTGAACAAAAGAGCTAAGGGAAGAAGCAGGAATATGAACAAAGGGTGGAAGCCTATAAAAATTTATGTCAATGATGGCTCAGGAGGTTCAAACATAAAGTATGCAGAAAGTTATAGAGTTTATGCTCTCAAAGGTGAAAAGCCTTCATTTAAGAACAGCTATTCTAACACATATCCTCAAAAGCTAACGGATGGGGAAGTGGATGATATGAATGACAGCAAAAATATTAACAGAAATGGCGACAGAGATGCATGGAATTTGTTTACCATCAGTCAATTGAAGGTTAAACTTTAAAACAATGTTGGTCGTTCCCATGGAATATTTTTGACTTTAATGGTATTAGTCATGATATGAATCTCAAGGTATGAACGAGGAGAGATGAGAGACTTATATGCTTCCCAAATTTCTTCAAAAGGTAATGTTATACCTGACTGTTTCCAAATGAGTTCAATGTCATACGTGAGAAACCTTGAAAGATAACGAAGTCAGTTATGAGACGTTTTATGTTTAAAGCAAGAAAACGCCATGTTTGCATAAGTATTGCTACAGTTAATGGTAATGTCTGACTTTAGTAATGATGTTAGCTAATGGTGAGTCAGGCTTTGACACTAAACCTTTTCCGGCGAAGTCGTCGCAAACGAGCAGAGTGTTTGAAGGATACTTTTTGAAGGGGTATTTTGAAAGTTTTGACAGAATGTAGTTTGTAAGTCGTTTCATATCGTAAACTCCTGAGTACTGACGTAAGTGGTGTTTGTCAATAATTCTTTCCATCTCTTCTGAAGTCTTTTGCATTCCTGACTGTATAAATTCAACGATGGCATAATATTTCCTCTTACGTCGAACGTAACGTTGAAGAAATTCAATGAGTTCACTGTCTGGAACTTTAACGACAGAGGCTTGAACTTTTGACATAAATGTTTTCGCTGTTGAGTCCATAGAGTCTGAAGTTGCTGATATAATGATTTGGTCATAATATGAGTCATTTCCTAAACGCTCTGTTATGAGTATATGACGAATGATTAAATGTCTTACCTGAACCCATCTTTCCACAATAGAAATACACACCATTTGAACAGAATTCATAATCTTTGCTGAAAGGAAGAATGAGAGAAGAGTTAAGTTTGTCTGTAGTTTCATTCATGTCTTCATCTACGTCATGTATTAAATGCTTCATTTTATCTCCATTAAAAATGCAAGTCAGAAATATTCAGAACATAGCACCGAGTCTAACTGACAAGAGTATAAAGATATACTATGAACATGTTATGATGAAACCAACCAAAATTCAAGAAAGTCAGTATACTTATGAATATCCAAGACACTGGGTAGAGTATGTAGGAGGTGAGAAAGCTATTGAAATAAGACAAGTTAGAAGTATTCCAGCAGGAAGGACAATATTATTGAAGAACTTTAATGTTTTGAGGTATAATGATGAAACAAAGAAGCAAGATAGTTTTCCCATTGCTGTGTATGTGAACCTAGACACAGGAGATGACATGAAAGTTTTTAACACAAAGCTTCAAACGGTAGTGAGAGAACAACTGACTGCGGAAGGGCATCCATTACCTTCAGAAGTTAGCATAGCATATAATTTTGAAACAAACTCAATAGATTTTAAAGTCGTCTCTGCAAAGAAGTCAGGTTTTACATTTAATGAAGCAGATGTATATTCGAATGAAAACTTCAAAGCTATTGCATGGTTAGATAATGACGATTGCTTTAAGAAAATATTTAAATTCAGTGACTCAACGATGTCAATAGATGACCTTCGTGGAATGTTACCATCGATGTTTACAGTAGAAGGTTCAGCAGGATTGCTTACAAGATTGTCAATTGGTGGTATTTGGTCTCGTGAGAACATTGTTATAAAATCCAGTATAAGTGAATTTGCTGAAGAATCTATATTATGTCTTTCAAACTATATGTATTCGCCGCCGAAGCATTATAGTATAACAAACTTTGTCAGTAAGTTTAACATAAGACTTGTCGAACCTTCTTCAATGAAAGATGTTGTGCTACCTAAAGATGGAAAGGATGGACTCATTATTGAGATGATTTTAATAGCATATTAAATGAGCTTGTTCTTGAAGGTCATTCATGATGAAATAACTGTTGTAGAAGATGTTAGCAATTGTTCAGACATTTTATTGAGAATAGATGATATAAGAAATAAGTTAGATAGACCGCAAAGCGGTGAGGGCGAAGCATGTGAGAATGTTTATGTTTCATTGACTTTCTCCAGTAAAGAGAACTTTTATGAGATAATATTGAAGAGAGATGATTTTAATATGGTGTAAATGGTAGCTTGGGCAGCTTTAGGCGCAATGGGAACAAAAGCATTAGCATTTGGAGCAAAAGCACTTGGAGCTTATGACGCAGTAAATAAAATGAGTGGAGGAAGGGTTTCGAAGACATTAGATGCAAATAAAGGGAAGATTGGAGGCTGGGTTGCAAAGAAGTTAAGATTAAATAAAATAGGGCTCATAAATAAAGCATCCAATTTGGTTGCGACTGAGTCAGAAAATGCTTTAGGAAAGGACGATGAGTTTGCAAAACATGCAAAAGACTTTAATGACCAGATGAAAGGTGAAACAATGCATTTAAATAGAGTCGATGGAACTCTTCCTCCACCAGTAGTTCTTCCGTATGGTCCCTATGGAATGTATGGAAACCCTTACGAAAGACCATTTGACCCATTGACTGGTGGAAGTAACTGGTATCATTACGGACGAAGAAGAAAGACAGTCAAGTTGGAGACAGACGTGAAGAAAGCAACTAAAAAGAAACCAAGGAAGAGAGTTATAAAGCAATGAATTCATGAGGTGAAAAAAGAGGTGAAAAAAGAGGTGAGATTTCACCACTTCACCTAAATTTATTTTTGCGCTATGTTTTCATACGTGTGAGGGTGGTGATATCATTAATTTTTAAGTTTATTTTTATATTTACTGAAAATTTTTATTTGGATGTAAATGACGAAAACTATTGAGATAACAAACTACAACGGTCATGAGTTCAAGAATTTGTTCTTCGTTCCTCGTGAAAATACATTCTATCAGATACGAGGGAGAAAGGGTAAAGTTAGTTTGAGCGTTTATGAAGGAATGAAGAATGGAAAGTTTATACAAGCATACGATACAAACGGTAAACGTGTTTCATTAGCTTTGTCAAAACTTACTAACATTTATTTTGACAGTGACTTTGACTCTGACGATTGGAGCGACAGCAGCGATACTGAAGAATATGAACTATTGTGTGAAGCACAGCAATGGGAAGAGTTGCAATACTTTTGTAAGTGAGAACGTTTATTTTTACAGTAGTAAGGTGAAGTGGTTGGCGGCTTTATAAATATTTAAGGTTAAGTTGGTGTTTGTGTTTGTGTTGTAAAATATACGTTAACGGTTTTGTAAAGTGTCAAATTCACAAGTATTGCGTACGGAGGAACGCAGTGCCTCCGTACACGAGACTTGTATACTAACTTCAGTGCCTCATAGCCTGCAATTCCCATTAGAAATGGGAGAAACTTTGTCCGCATAACTGATGATGCGGACAAAGTTTCTCCCATTTCTACTTAGAATGAAAGGGCAAGAGGTATATAGGTACACTATATATCTCTTGCCCTTTCCTTCTTACCTAAAGACTTCCAATCTTATTTTTTTCCCCAATTTTTCCCCTAAATTTAAATCTTATATAATATAAATAAAATGCATAATATCAATCACAAAAATTAATGTTTATTTTTTTAATTAAAATTGCCGCGCAATTTAAGGTTTTCTGTCACTTTTTTTGTGAGCCATTTCGGTACGAAACAAATCAAATAACAGATGTCAAAAAGTCAAACATAGACATACAGAAACAAATAAGTGAAAACGAAAAGAAACTAGAATATGACAGACACACAAAGAAACTCAATGAGTTAAACGTAGAGAAAAAGAAGAAAGAAGAACAACTGAAAGAACTAAGTACAGAGGAATATGCGAAAAAAGTGTCAGAAAAAGCAGCAGAAGTAGCAAAAATGGAACAAGATGTTATAAATTTGAAAAACCATAACTACTCAATATAAAGTACTGAAAGATGAAGAGATAAAACAAAAAGCCATGAAGACATATATGGATAGCGATGAGTATAAAAAAGAAGTTGAAGCAAATGTAAAGGCAGAAAAACTTTTACAGTTGCAAAACCAAACCGTACCGTATGAAAACTTAGCACAAGAAAGTAAAAATAACGACGCAGCCATGCAAAAGGCAATGAAAAGCTCAGAATATATAAAAGCTAATAATGACTGGTTAGATGCCCAAGCCAACGCTAAAGCAGTCCAACTTATAGGGTCAATAAGGACAAAAATACAAGCGGATGAAGACAGTTCAAATGAAGCTTTAATGAATGCTGACTTTAAGAATGTCTTCGAAGCTCTTCATAGTAAGGTGAAACTAGTGAACGACTTCTCATCTGGAAAGAAACTGAAGTCTGAAGGTTTCGACAAAGAGTTAAGAGAAGTAGCACAAAATATGACGAAAATAACAGATGCAGCAACGAGACAGGCAGTTCAAAGTGCCTATGACGCCGTTAGAGCAACTGTTGTGGAAAGTCAAGAAAAAGAGTTACAACAGACCAAAACAGACCTAGTAAATGCTTTCTTAAGAACGAAAAGTCAGGTAGGACATTATGCTGCAGATGGAACATATGTGCCAGCTGGTGGAACTTATATACCACCAAACCCTCCAAGAGAAGCACCTGCACCAGGACTACCTAAAACATTTACATCGTCACATGGACACAGACATAGGCATGCACCAAAACCAACACAACAACCAACAGTTCAAAATCCAGCACCACAACAACAACCAACACAACAACCAACAGTTCAAAATCCAGCACCACAACAACAACCAACAGTTCAAAATCCAGCACAACAACAACAACCAAAACCAACAGTTCAAAATCCAGCACCACAACCAAAACCAGCACAACAACCAGCACAACAACCAGCACAACAACAACCACCTCCACAACCAGCACAGCAACCAACAGTTCAAAACCCTGCACAACAACAACCACAAACAGAGCAAGGACATAAAAGAAGTAGAGAAAAAGGAAACCAAGAATTCTTAAAAATGCTTAAGGAAGATTATGGTTACCCAGATACTCTTGACTTTAGTGACAGATATAAAGAAGCTATTAGAAAGTTCAAGGAAGGAAATACTGACCCGAACCTATTTAGCTTTATGGTTCAGCACCAAATGGGATATAATCTCAAACCTGGAAAATACAAGCTCGCTAAGGGATATGATTTAATAGCATATCATCCAAATGACATGAATGAATTTACTCCGAGATATTTGGTGTCAGAGCTAAATGATAATTCAACTCTCTTCATGAAACGCGTAAAAAATAGAGACGGAACGAAAGAAGAAAGGTTTATGAGTCAGGATGACTTAGATAAGGAACTTGTTAAAAACGGTCTCGGAATATATGAAATGCCAGCAGATGAGGTACAAGAAACTCAACAGGAAGAAGTTCAGATACAACCAGACATGGAAGAAATAGTTCAGCAACAACAGCTAGAAGAGCCTGAAGGAAACGAACAAGTCCCTCCTTTGGAAACTAACTTCACAGAACTAGATGAAGATTTGGAACAGCCGAAAAATCTTGACCCTCAACAAGAGTATGAGGTGAATATGGAATCTTTCCAAGAGTCTAAGAAAAATTCGGCTGACATAGTAGAAGAATATCGAAAAATGTTCGCCGACATACAAAAGACTCCAACATCAGATGAAAATATTCAGCATAGAATGGAAGTACTGAAAGATAATGTACACAAATACAATAATCCTTTTTACTTACGAGCATATAACGTTCAATCTTTGGCTGAACTCGGTGAAAATAAAAGGTTTAATTTCAACAAAACATATAGAAATGAAACATTGTTTAAAGTTCATTCAGAACCTAACCAATATGGAAACAAACCTACTTTTGTTTCTGCAGACTATGGAACTACAATGAGATGGGGTCATAAAGCTAATCCGGATAGGTGGTTCATAAACTTACAACCTCAATTCCAAGAAGTTGTAGACGCAATGGAAGTGAATGGTGAACCAGATATAGCTGGTATTTTCAGCGCGGCTTTAATGCCATTGAAAGATATGAAAGATGCAGATATTTTGGACCAGTATGAAATGAACATGGCTGATGGAAATATAACACCTGACGTTCTAGAACATTTATCTCAAAGAACTACACAGAACCATAGAGATGGTATATTTGGTGAAGAGTTTAGAAAGAAAGTTAGGGAGAGAGAAGGAAGAGAACCTATTGTACATGACCTTGCAAACGAAAGTTTGCAAAATGTCATAAAAACTTACTTTGCAGACAATGAACTGAGAAGGGATGAATATTTAAGAAAACTCAAATGGACAGTACCAAATGAAATGTTAGTATTGAAAAACATGTTCCTTGACAAAATAAAACCAACTACAGAAATAAATGACGCAAGCCTGAAACGTTGGGTAAAAGCTTTCCCATTCACAAAAGATATTATTGGTTACATGGAAAGAAAACCAGAATGGCTACAAAAACATATATTTGGAAACGAGCTTATTCCATATGGACAAGCTATATTTGAAGAGCTTGAACCGGAAACTCAGGAAAGAGTCATGCAAACAATAAGCGAAGACTCAAATACAAACTATGACAAAATCTTTCTAGGATATAGGTTACCTGAGATGGGCGACCAGAGCCCAAAGGCAAAAAGGACATGGGAAATTTACAACATACTAGGTGAACATGAGGCAAAGATGCAACAACTTGAAGCAGAGGGCAAGTTACCAAAAGCGACACCAAAGAAGAAGAGAAGAGTAGAACAAAGTGAAAGTAGTGAAGAAGTAACTTCATCTAGTGAAAGTAGTGGCAATGAAGGAAAAAGAAGAGTTAAAGATTCAGTTAAAAACTCAGTCAGGAAGAAAGTAAAGCTTGGTCCGAGTGGGTTCTATTATGACACATAAATCCAACTATTCTATATTTTTACCCATATGAAATGTACGCCGCTCAGAATATAACGCCAACAGTTTTGGATGCCATGAACGGAAATGTTTCCGAATGGTATAACGAATGCGACAATGCCATTAGAAGGTCAGAAATAGTTCCTGGAACTTACGAATATACAACTGCTGTTTCTTATGGAAACGTAGGTGAGTTTGGAGAAGGTTCTTCAACAACAGTAGATATTGCTTGCGACAGGTTTCATATTATTTCTATTGACAACTCATTCTTATGCGTGGAACAAGACATTGAAATAAAACCTTCTGCCAAGTTGTCTGACAAGAAAGGTTGCAATGGAATTTTCTATGTCGGATACCAATATGCTCCAGAAGTTTTCATGGGATATAAGATATATTCTAACTCTGACTTAGTTCAAACAGTAACATGGGCAAACTATGAATGGTTCGCTTTGAGAAACTCAGTACAACCACAAGCTAGAGAACAAACAGACCAGTATGCCACCATTGAGAAAATAAGAAGACTTGACCCTAACGTTCCAGGAGTTTATGTTAACCTTTCTGGACAAACTGCAGCAGCAGTAACCAAAGTAAAACTGAAACTTAGAGTTCCTTTGTCATCTTTCCTCATCTTCAGGTTTTTAAGATACTTGCCAAACTGGGCAGGAAAAATTTCTATCGAACTTACTCCAAGCAAAAATAACTTAGTCATTGCACCAACACAAGACCCATTCAGCATTACTGTAGCTGGAACTGGTGGAGCCAAGTTCTGTGACTTTTGCAAAAACAAAGTTGACTTAGACTTTGGTTTCTCAAACCTCAACACTGAAGTAAACTATTATTTCAATGCTGCTGGAGATGCTTGGGACCCAGTTAAGTTCACATGCGAAAAATTTGAATGCAAGAGAATAGAAAGCAGACTTGCAGTCTATATGTTGGACCCAGATATTTCAAATGCTTTAGCTGCCAAATATATTGCAGTTCCACTTATGTTCCCTATACACCAAATATCTGTCAAAGACTTTGCAGGTGAAGTTGGAAACCAAAATCCAGGAGCCGAAGGTGCAAGAACAGATATTGCTTTAACAACTGCAATGAAACATGCAGATACTATGTTTGTACTGTTCAGACGAACTATAAATGACTATTCTTGTTTCTACAACCCTGGTATTAAATATCATATAAACATAGATGGCAAATATTATCCAAGAGAAGAATATTCTACAGTTGAGGATATGAGGTCATACAACTTGACATTAGATGCTATGAACTTTAACAACAACTTCACAACAACCATTAACCCTGAAATGCAAAGTTCTATTATGCCATATGTGAAAGTATGGACTCATACAGGAGGTCAAAAAACTCAATATACAAATGGAGACCGTTCAAACTTTTGGCTTGGCATTCCATTTGCTGACTCAGAAGACTTTATGGGTGGTATTTCAACTGTTGGTACAGTTCAAATACAATATACTGGTGACAGAGACGGTCCAGATGAATTGAGAGCAAAGAAGTTTACAAAACCAATAGCACTTTTCACGGAAGATGCTCTTTTGAAGATTCGTTCGATGAAACCTGCTGGGGCTCCTCAGATTGGCATAACGACAGCTTCCATCGAGCAGATTTTGGCAGCAGGTCAGTAAGTTGTTCTTGAACTGACTTCTCTCCGTCAAATATTGACAGTACGCCAGTTTTGACATAATATTGTATTATAAACTTTCCTTTAGTAATATCGGTCAGTTTTGAAGTTATATTTTTGTCTGCTTCAAGAACTTTCACCATTTCAGTTATACCAACTTTCTTTGCTTTATGAAAATATTTAGGTTCAGCAAAGACTGCTATTCTATAACATTTTCCATTGTTTGTGTAAAGAACTATTCTGTCACTGTATTTGTATTGTTTGTGAGTATAAACCTTGTTTTGCTTCAATTCAATAAGATATCCGAATACGTCCATCTTTTTATTCTAAGTAAAATGTCATTTCCGAAAAATAGAAGCGTAAGTGTTTCAAAAGGTTTAATGGCGGTGGCAGATGTGAAGTTAAATTCACCAACTCAAACAAACAGTCAAAGTGTTATTGTCAATGTCAAAGACAGAGATGTTGAAATGGGGAAACCATACGAAGACAAAGATGGTATAACAATTGTTCCTGTAAAAGAACCAACATATCCTGAAGTTAACAGAGACTTAAGTTCTGTTGCAGATATTCGAAACGACTACCAACAACTGAAAGACAAACTTCAAACTCAGGAGAAGATTTGTCAAGCTTTAAGTATAATGTTAAACTTGGTCGAACACAACCCTGTAAAAGTGAACTCATATGTCATTGCACCTCATGAAGTTTTGAAAGAACTATTGAAACTTTTGACAGAGGCAGACGATATAAACATCAAAGAAATAGAACCCGACATTAGTTGCTGTGGTGTTTCATATAATGTCATTGACAAGATATACGTTATGAAAGGAGGTGAAACGTTGAACTTAAAATATAGTTTCCCAGACGTTATAAAAATATTTGACGACCACAACATTTCATTAAAATTTATTTGCTAAGTAAATGGCAGAAGACATAATGGTTTATACTATTACGACTAAAAAACCTGAGTCATATAATTCTATAACAACAAACTTACAAAGTCCTCAAGGACGATATTGTAAACTAACCTTAAACACAATGACGACTAAAGCCTGTTTTGCTCTTTTGACACCAGAAGACTTTATTGTTGTGAATGGTAAAAAATACTCCTTTGAAGATACTTACTCAGATATACCACCAACAGGTTTTGTTGACTTATTTAATACTTTAAGTACGGGTGTAACATGTGCTGCAACTAGAGCAGGTTTCATTATGTTTGGATGTCCGACTGAGTTTACTATTAATGATATGAGCTATAATACAAAACTTATTTCTGGTTTTTACTACCAACAGTTTCCTATAACAGGAAAAGGTGTCATACAAGGAATGTCTATTCCATTGACATTAAGCACACCAATCTTATATATTGTTTCAAACTTAGGTTCAAAGTGTTATTCGAATGTCGACAGAAACTATTATGACCAAAAGATACTTATGCGTATAAACAATACTTTCTCTGCTGGTTTGCCTATTGTTCATTCGAATGCAGAATTTTCAACCTTAGTGAACTCAAACACTTTGGCAAGTATAACGTTGACATTAGTTGACGCAAACTTTGTTCCTGTAAAACTTTTATGTCCTATGTATTTGTCAATGACGGCAGAAAGTTTCGAATTGGAAGATGCAACTGGTGAAAGTATTGTATTACAAGAACAACTTCAACAACAAATAGCTCAAGAACAACAAATGCAACAAATGGAACAACAAAGTCAAGAATAAAAAAATATTATTTTTTTATTTTTATAAAAATGTACAGAATAGATGTTTCAGATTTTTATGACTTCCAAGCATTCAGAAATATGTGTCCATTTCGAGACTATAACAAAGCAGTCGAGAATTTGAAACGTTTAGTCATTTATGTTGACTCTGCCCCAGAATGTTATGTCATGAAAGAATGGGATGTAGTCTTTAACAAACCAAGAGCAACAATAGTTTCAGAACAAGAATGTAGACAGAAACTTAAGAAAATAAAAGTTGTACAAGTTGGAATGAAGATGTTAGATGCTTGGGATATCTTATTGTCAAAGTTAGAAGATTTTTCAGTTCGTGGTATAAAGTTTTATACACCTTCTCCAAACTTCTATTCTATCTTCACTGGATATAAATACGAACAAGTAGAATGGAAAGAAAATATTATAGAAGCTTGGTTAGACCATGTCAAAGAAATTATATGCAATGGAAACGAAAGAGTCTATGAGTATATCTTATGTTGGTTTGCAAACATCTTACAACATCCAAGTGCTAAAAATGAAACTGCTCTCATTATAATTGGAAAACAAGGAACAGGTAAGAACACATTCTTTACAGATATCTTATGCAAACTGTTAGAAGGTTATTCGAACCCGAATATGACAAACTTAGAAAACATCTGTGGCAAGTTTAACTCCTCAATAGAGAATATGAAACTTATAGTTTGCAATGAACTTCAAAGTATAGATACAACAAAAGTTTTGAACTCAGATGCTTTGAAGAGTCTTATAACAGACAAAGTTGGAGTTGTTGAAAGAAAGTATAAAGACCAAAGAGTTTGTGAAAATGTTGCAAACTTCATTATGGTTTCAAACAATGCTGTTCCGATGAAGTTAGAAAGTTCTGACAGAAGATATGTAGTTGTCAGAACGTCAGATTCTCATATGCAAGATACAGAATATTTTGACGACTTAGCAGAAACTTTGACACCTGAGTTTTACAACCACTTGTTCTCATATTTCATGACATTAGATATTTCTAAGTTCAATCCAAGACAAATTCCACATACCGAAGAGAGACAAACATTGTTAGAAGCAAACAAGAGTGTATATGAACTGTTCATAGATGAAACTGACTTTGTGTCATTAGATGAAAGGTCTTTATATGATGAATATAAACAATATTGTCAAGAATAGGGTTATATGGCAGCTTCTAAACGTACATTCTTGGCAAATGTCAAAAGTCTTTTAGATGTTCAGAATGGTGTATATACAAAGAAAATTTTTTCTGAGTAAATTTTAAAAAAAATATTTTTTTATCCGATAGAAAAGATGACGAAATTCATCTCAGTAAACAAGTACATGTCAGGACTTAAAGAAGAACTAGACCCATTCACATATTTGAATGTTTACTTCTACCATTTTGAAAAGTCTTCATTCAGCAAAGTTTTGAACATCGAACCAGTTAAGTTTGCTATTGTGACTAAAAATGGTGCGAAATTTGAAGACTTAGACATAGAAGGTTTGTTAACAGTCAAAGAAAGTTTTGACAGAAGGTTCTCAAACCTTAAAGAAGGCAAAGCATACAAACTTGTTATACCTTATGAACCAAAGAAGACAGACGACTATGAATATTATGAGTCTAAAGTTGTAGAAGTTCAAGGTAAATTGGGTAAAAAATTTTAGAGTCTAAGCCAGTGTTTACTCCTAAAGAGGAAGAGAACATTGACATTGACCCAGAAATGTTCTAAAAATAAAATTTTATTTTTACATGTCAAATTTCTTTTTCTCTGGCTCTGGTTCAGGTTCTTTCTTCTCTTCTTCTACTTTCTTTTCTTTCTTTTCTCTCTTCTTCTTTTCTGGTGGAGTTATGTCAAATTTGGCGCAACTATATTTATGTAAAAGTTCTTTGTCCTTTAATAGCTCATCTATTCTGTTTTCTATTTCATCTTCAAGAACAGCGCATGTGTCTTCTTTGCATTCTAAGAACTTTTGTTGGACTTCATCTTTCCAATCGGCGTCATCTCTGTCAACAAGTCTGTCATTGACAAATTTTAAGACTGCTCTTTGTAATGTTTTATGGTTCTTGTCATATTCCCAGAAACAGAACTTTAGAACAAATTCACCTTTCTTGTTTACACTATGTAAGATTTTATGGTCGACAGATGTTTTGCTGTCAAAAAGTTTGTCTCGAATATAGATAGCGAAATCGCTAGACATTTTCAAAAGATAAAAATTTTAATTTTTCTAAAAATATGTTAGAAAAAAAGTTTGCTGACATTGACAAGAAATTTGAGAATGTTTTAAACAAGAACAAGAGGAAGTTAGAAAATGCTCAGATAAAACCTATACATGAAAAGTTCTTATTTGCTCAGAATGGTATAACAGGTCTAATTGCACCACCTGGGTCGGGTAAGACTTTCACTTATCTTAAAATGGCTGCACAACAACAAGAACTAGATGAGAAGAACCCATTCTATGAGTTAGTAGTCATTTGTAGTACTTCGGGTCAATTTGACCAAACCGTCAATTCGTTCAAAGATATTATAAAGAAGTCTAAGTTAGTATGTATAAAAGACTCTGAGTTGTTAGATTGGATAAAGAAGTACCAAGGAAGAGTTTTGAAGTATAATGCTATAAATGAGTATATAAATTCGAAGTTTAAAGACCCAAATGAGGAAATGCAGAGAATATTAGAGAAGAAACACTTCAGAAACAAACAGAAAGAGATAGAATACATTTCGAAGAAATTGCAATCGTACGATTGGAAAACGTACCCTCATAGGTGTCTTCTTATCTTAGATGATTTCGCCTCTCATCCTTTGTTAAAGAATAGAGAACAAGATATGTGTCGAATTCTTAAGAAGCTCAGACACTTTAACATCTCAGTTGTCATTTGTGTACAGACAGCAAAGAGTTTAAGTAAGGATGTTAAAAGAATACTTACTGACATAATACTTTTCCCCGGATTGTCCGAAGACGATTTCATGGAACTTATGAAAGAGTCCATGGCAGGTAAGTTTGACAGACATGAACTCTGGAAGAAGTATAAAGTCATACAAGACCCTTATACTTCTTTCAGAATTCATATCTACGCAAACAAAGTTCAAATTGTAAAAAGTCAAGCTTGAAAAATCTAAGTGTTTAGTCTTAGTAAGATGGTAGCTTCTTAAAGCAAATACCATTGCTGAGTTTTATGTACGTGAAGAGAAGTACAATGAATCCAATTACGAGTACAATTGCAATGACAACTAAGGCAACTATTTTTGTCTTTTGCCAGCAAGGGTACTTCTTCTCTTCCAATGGTTCGGCAGAACTATACTCACTCATGAGAAATGCCAAAACGGTTTAATAGAAAAAGTGTAATTTTTTTCATGTCCGAAGACTCGAAGGTGCAACACTTCCAAAATACCGACGAACTCAGAAGAGCAGCATGGCAGTATGTTCTTGACAACTTCTTTGAGTTCTCCAGGTACACCTTGGAAAATGCTGAAGAACTCCGACACAGAGAATTTGGAGAAATTGCGCTCCAATACTACCTTGACAAACAAAGGGTAAATTAAGACTAAAAACTTAACGTTTAAAAAGTGACATTTTTTATGAGCTCCGAGTCACCGAGAAAACTTGGTCAGATGTTAGCAGCTTACTTCCCTGAGGAGGATGGAAGCGTTACATACATAAGGCTCAAAAACAACGAACCTGGAATTGCGTACCAAATTCGCAATTACATGACCATGGAAGAGTACGAAAGGTTTCTACAAGAGAAACCAGCTCTAAACAACTCAGAAAAGAAAGAGTAAAAAGTTTAATTCGTAATTGTTTATTTTTTTACTTGTAAGGGCAAGCTGCAAGAATGAAGTCGACTATCTCAGTCTTTGTCTTGACCAGTTGGACTGCTCTTGTAAGCACGTCTGTTTTGCGGTCTCCAGCTGGTGTCTGACCTTCGTAATTGCGCATGTTCTTGAGAGCTCCAGCTGTAAATGGCTGTAAGATGAAGAGTCTCTCAGACTGCTTGAGGTAGTCTTCACGGTCACGAACCGAATCTGTGGTACGAGTCGAATTGGTCGACCTTAGGGAAGAGACTGAAAGCCTGTCGTCTTCCATTGGAGCTGTAGCATACTCTTTGCGTAAGCGGTTCAGACCTTCTTCGAAGTCTTGGTCTCTCTTCGATTGAGATTGGAATTGGAATTGCTGGGGTGGAGCTTGCTGGAACAACCAAGGGTTGGGGAAGTAAGGCATAGGCTGAGGAGGGTAGTTCGGGAAGCCTTGTGGTGGGTAGTAACCTTGAGGTGGAAATTGGTAGTAATTCGGAGGTACTTGCTGGAACTGAGGTTGCTGAGGAGACTGTTGTGGTTCTTTAGGTTCCTCTGGTTTGGGAATGGACTCGGTTGGTGGGACGTCGGACATTCGTTTGTGTCCTGTCGGACCACAACGATAAAAATCTCTGCTACTAGCAGTACTTTTACTGACAGTAGCAGTACTTTTTCTGACAGTAGCAGTACTTTTACTGACAGTAGCAGTACTTTATCGTCGAAAACCCTCTCAAATTTTCCTTTTTTTCTGCTCCTAGCAGTACTTTTACTGACAGTAGCAGTACTTTTACTGACAGTAGCAGTACTTTTTCTGACAGTAGCAGTACTTTTACTGACAGTAGCAATGGTCGAGGTCGAACCTACCGACGAGGCAATTTACCTAATTGAAATTAACGAGCTTGTTAAAGACTTCCTCAGGCAGAATGTAAAAGGCAAGCTCGTTAACGGTTGGATAACGGGAAGGGCTGCCTTGAATCTCGAGACTTCGACTGGAATTCCAATTCAAATACCAGACGGGACAGCCTTCGACGACATAAAGCAAGCAAAGAAGGAAGCCATTATAAAGTTCTTTGCCAAGCGTCCTTGGATACTACTTCCAAACAGAGAGAACCCTTTCCCAAGAATGAACCAAATTCTCAGGGGTCTCCTTCACTTCTCTGGTCAGCCGTTCTACATAACCTGTGAAGGCGACATCCAACCAATTCAATAAACATCTCATTTTAACTCACTTTTTTTATGTTTTTACTCATGTGAAGAAGAAGCCTTCTGGTAAGTTTCTTATAGCCATATACATGGCACGCTTTGAGTAAAAACATTTTTTTTTCATTTTTTGAATGAAGCAAGTTAAATTCGTCCCACACCAATCTCAATGGACCGATGAAGAGTTTCAAGCCATGGTTGAAGGTGTTGAGAACGACATAGACGGCGAACTTGAAGGAGCTCAAACCACAATTGCAACCAAAATTGCACAAGTCAAAGAAGAGATAGCTCCACTTAAAGCTACCAAAGCTACTCTTGACCTCATGGATACTTACCGTTTAGATGTCAAGAGAGGAATAAGACAATTAAAATTAAAACTCTTAAATTACGAAGCTATACTCCAGAAGTTAGCAGAAATGAGAAGACTTTACCAGAGCTACTTACATGTAAGGGACTTACCTTCAAGCAGTCCGACCAAAGATGAATTTTCTGACATTGTCCCAATTTTGTCCGAAAGTCAGCTCAGATGTTTTGAACTGCTCCCAACATATCCAGAATATGAACGTTTGCCTGAACTCTTCCGCAATCTCAAAAAACGTTTTTTGGTTCTCATGTTCGAAACTTTTATCGGAAGAGACAACAAACGTTCAGAAGAAGAACAAGATATTATTTTAAACTTGTTGTGTGACATAACTGTCATAACAAGCTTTTTGAAGTAAAACCGCCATTCTCAAACCACTTCATTTTTTCGATGTCCGAACAAGCACCGAAGCCGAACACAATAGCAGATGTCCTTTCAAGGTTACCAGACAAGCGCCCAGTTCAAATTCAAATTGCCCAATTGAAAGCTCATCTGACAAACACCATTAAGACTCTCCAAAGTAGTCTTATGACAGAGATGACCAATCTCAAAGCCGATGTCCTCATGAACCAAGCTTCCAATGAGAAATGCCTGAACAATTTCACGGAAACCTTGCGCAATTACGAGAGAGAGAACCGAGACCTTGCCAGACTCATCTACCGTTTCTTCGAAGAGATAGACGCCATCTGGAAGGTACTCGGAAAGGACAGAACATGCAACACCGTACTTCGTGAGTACCAAATTGAAGAAGGAATTGTCGAGGAAGAAGAGGAAGAAGAGAAACACGAAGAAGTTCCTGAAGCCGCTACATGGGCAACCCTTGTTGCCGATGACGGTTACGAAATTTCCCAACCCTACCCATACCAAATCCGTAACAAGGAGACAGGCAAGGTTCTTACCCCAGTCCTCAACAACTTGGGACACTTGAACCTTAACCTTCGGAATCGCGGTTCAATCTCCATGGGCAAGCTTGTCGCAATTCAATGGGTTCCAAATCCAGGCAAGAAGACGAAGGTCAGACACATTGACGGTGACAAGCTCAACAACCGTAAGGAGAACCTCGAGTGGTTCTAAGAGTAAAAAAATTATTTTAGGGGGAAACCCCAAGTAAATTTAAGTGTTTAGTTGGATAAGTAGGCACTATTAATGGTAATTTGGAAAATTAGCTCCCGACCTTTGAATTGGGCTCTTTCGTTATCCCAGTTGCGTAGGAGGTCGTCCCAGAGGAGTTGGTAGAATTGCCAATTCAAGGACGATTTGTCCTCCCAGGCATTGAGGATGTACTGCTCGTAGAGTCTCATGACCTCTGCCTTGCACCAGACACCCTCTCCCTTGGAACGTAAGGCTTCTTCGAGGTGCTCGAATGCGATTGGCTGCTTGACCATCCAAAATGACACTTTTTGTCCGTTTGGTCAATGTTTGTGTCTCGTGCCATAGTCGACGAAAATACAGACAAACAGGTTATATATGAGTTTGAGACCAAGAATGGTGTAACTCGACCTGTCCGATTCAAAGACTCCGAGGGCGACCATGAAATTAAACGGAAATTAGCTAGGAAGGAATATAAAATGGACTGGTTGCCACCACCTCCACCACCACCACCTCCACCACCTTTACCTGTTCCTCAAGTAAATAAGCCTTTCCCGTTCCCAAGAATTCCCACATTTTAATTCAAATTCGAATAAAAACGTTTTTATTTCATGCAATGTTTTATTTCTGTGCCGTCTTCAAGTATGCCCCAGTACTTACGCTTGGAGAGGACATGAACTTCGGTGAAAATTTTGTCCAATTTGAATTGACCCATCTTTTCACCGACTAAACCCATTTCAATGAGTTTGTTATAGCCTTCTTCGTTCGTCATGAGTGCGTCAATGTTCTCATAGTAAACCTTGACTTTCGATTTGACTTCCGAGAAGAACTCATTGTAGTTGTCAAGGACTGCCTTTGCGAACTGAGGGTAAGACCAATGTTCGACAATAGGTTTTAATGTGGTTACTAAGCCACTTTGACCTTGAGTGAATTCGTACTTCAAAACAAAAGGAGAAAACCTTTCAACAAAGTTGTCGACCTTCTCATAATGTTTACTCTTCATCTCTTGAGGTTTCTTAATGGAATATCCCCATGTCGAATTCATAAGCAATTTGAGTGTCATTGCAAGTTTGGGGTTTGAAGCTTTCCTAATATCATACAGTTGTTGTATGACTTTTCCAACTGTATAGTTCCTTCCCGGGAACTCACCATCTTCGTTTGTAATTCCAGTCGGAATATATTGGACAAACCTCATGTATGCAGCGTTAAGGTCGACATAGTATATCTTTTCATCTGAGTCGAACTTGTCGCAACCAATTGGTCCAGTTTGTGGAAATTCAAGTGAGTCTCTTATCTTCTGAGAAACTTCTCCTGTTATCTCATAAACATCGTCGAAGCAACCTGTTTCATATAAAACCTTCTGACCTAACTCAGATGCTCTCCAATACAATTTGACGTCAATTGGATGTCTCAATGGAAGTTTGTTTATAGCATCTTGAAGTTCTTGCAACCTCATTGGAAGTTCTTCTGGTTCAGGTTGGTATCCGAACATACCAACCCCTTGTGGAACCGTGTACTTCTTTTGTACTAGAACTTTGTCTGGAACAACTTTTGGTCTTGCTAACAATGAAAAGCTTGTTTCGTCTTTTGGTACAAAAGTTTCTGTCAGCTTGTCATCTGGAATTGGTTCCAACAAACCTTTCTCGAAACGAATGTTTACAGCTCTGACAATGTTGCACTTACTTTTACCAAAGAATGGGTTTGTAAGACTTTCGTTCAACATGAAGTGGTTGTGGACAATTGCAATCTTCAACCATGGTAAGTCTTTGTCAACAACATAGTCGTCATGTGAAGAACCTTTAGCTGTAGGTATGTTGACTCGGATATTGACATTTGCCAACGGTGCAATTTTTGCCAATTGACCTCTGAGAATGTACCTTGTCTTCACACATGACTCAAGATACTTCATCTTCTCATCTGTAACAAGACCAGAGTTCCTGAGACATGTAAGAATGCAAGGTTCGTTGACAATTGTTTCAATTGAATTGTAAATTCCATACCTTGTCAAGTCAATGTCAGACTTATTTATGAAATGGGAAGTATCCAGCATGTTGTCTGACTGCTTGAGGGTTAGGTTGGTACCATTCGAACTTGACACTTGCAATTCCTTCAATTGCATTCAAAATGTCTGAGTCGGAGTCAACCATTTGTTCTCTCTTTGTAGTCTTGAAAGCGTCAAGAAGTTTTGCGGCTGTTTGTTCATTGCCATGTGCATAGTAAATGTGACCATCCAAATCTGTTATGGTCAATCTGAGATTGTGTCCTTTCTTATTTCCATCTTATTGGCAGCAAGTACTCCCATGAAGCCTTCTTTGTTCTTTCCTTCGTCAAAGTTTACTGTAAAGGTTCGACCAGATGTAATTTGACTTCTAACTTCACGATACTTTTCATATGCATATCTTGTTTCTTTCCATGGGAGCATGTGCGTCTTCACCTTTTCCTTTTTTCCTTCTCAAAGGATGCAATTGTTCGTCATGTTCCAGTAGAATCTGGCAAAGCCGTCGTGTCCTTCAACTTGAGGTTCACTAACATCGAAAGGCATGTCCATAAGACGTTCTTCTTCTAACCTCTCTAGTCTGTTTGGATAATTGGCACGTGCTGTTTCCAAATCCATTTCGTAGCGAAGACCAGACAATTTGTCATAGACTTTTATGGGTCTTCCCTTCCTATATTTAAAATTCTTCGAAACTCTCCAACCATATCTTTGTAACTCTGCTTTTATTCTAGCAGACTTTCTATCCATTCTATATGGGGGCATTTTTATAAAAATAAAAAAAATATTTTTTTTCTTTACTTTACATAACCGCCTGCTGCCATAAGTCTTTGACGCCAACCCATACCAGCTAATGAAGGTTGACTTGGTTTAGTTTGGAAACTAAACTTTGGTTTTTGTTATCTTCAGTTTTTGGTTTTTCTTCTTCTATCGGTTTTTCGTCACTTTTCGGTTCCTTGACTTTACTTCACTTGCAGAAACAGTTGTGTCGTCAACATCTTCATAAATATCATATGCCATTTGTTTTTGTTTTCCTTTCAACTTTTTGTGTTTGTTGTAAAGTTTAGAATATTTCGACTCTAAGTCAATGAGATGTTCTATAATGAACTGTTGGTCAGTGAAGTAAACTTTTCCATCTGTTGTCTCGAAAGCTCCTTCAGACTTCAATATTTTATTTGTGAGAGTCTGTTTCTTTTTTGAGATACTAAGCCGTTTCCATTTATTATGAAAAGTGACTTTTAGTTAGAGTTTGTATTTCCAGACCTGGCACTTTCTATTATTGAATTTTTCTCTTCATCTGTAAGTTCTTTGACAGGTTTTGACAATGGTTCTGAACTTTTTGTTTGTGGTGTCAAATCTACCGTTTCAACTTCTTCGGTCATTTCATCTCAGTAAAAAAATTTAGTTTGGTTTGTTTTCAACTGGTTGTTTAGGTTTTTTAAGTCGGTCTAAAACTTCCTGAGGTATAGGAAGAACTTTACAAACACGTGTGTAACTGCTGGAAGCCGACAAATCCATCTTTTGAACCCATTTGTCTCAATGCTGCATTGTTCATTTCATCTCAGTAAAAAAATTATATCTCCCCAACGTTTGAGGTGGTTGCGGTTGGTTATTGTTTACCCACTGTTGTGCATGGTTATATCCTCTGTTAAAGAATCTTTCACCTTGGTCCATATAGTGTCCTGCTTGGTTATAGTAGTCATTTGCTTTGTTATATAGTTTCCTGCTTGTCTTCCTACATTGTCCATCCATCCTTGAACTTTTCCTCTTGTTTCAGGATTTGGAATAAGATTTGTTGCATCTCGTGCTACATCCCAACCTTTCTGTACAGTTTGTATAATAGATTGTGCTTTCTCTTTCAGTATACCTAATGTACTCAAAATCTTCCTTCCAATTCCAAATGCACCTCTGGCTAGTGTTCCCACTGCGGGCAAAAATCTGGATGCAACTCCTGCTAATGCGCCAAATAAACCCATTTCTTATAGGGTAAAAATGACGAATCCAAACAAGGACCCCTATGTTTCTAAAGCGACAAAGAAAGCACTCATGATAAAAATCTTTAGTTCAACACCAAATGCTTGGTTTATGGATATCTTGGAAAACATTCCGAGAGTTAGAACAGATGGACCTCCATACTGGTTAATATTTGTTGGTCAAAACACAAGATACTGTGAAGCCATACCATTATGGTCCAAAAATATTTTAGATGTGAAAACTGCTTTGACAATATTCGTTGACAAATACCATCCAACAAAACTGACATCTGACTGTGAAAGTTCTTTCAAATCAGATGATGTAAAAAACTATCTGCGTTCAAAAAATGTAAACCAATATTTCATTGTCGACCAAAACCATTCTGCTCTTGGTGTCATTGACGGTTGTATAAAAATGTTAAGAGACTTAAACCAACCACAAGGTGGTGAAGCAAATGAAATGTCATATGACGACAAGTATAGACACTTCTCCATGGCAAAGATGAGACAAGTTTTAAATATTTACAATAACCGTAAACAAAAAGGTTTGGGAAACCACTCCCCCGAAGAAATGAAAAACAACCCTGACTTAGAGAAAGACTATATATTTAATAATTTAGTCAAAAGAGACAAACAAGAAAGAATGCCGGGCTTCAAACTTCAGAAAGGTGACAAAGTAAAAATAGAAATACCTAAACGCGACCCATATGAAAATACTATTGACTATGACAACAATGGGAACCCGACAGGTACTCACATTCGTGTTCGTAAAAATAGAAGAAAGTATACAAGAGAATATTATGAAGTTTTAGGCAAACATGGCAAAATGTACACACTGCAAGCAGAAGATAAAACTACTATTGTCAGACCTCGTTTCAAACTTGTCAAAGTTCAAGGTGGTATACTTTCAAAGACAGTTCCTAACAAATATAAGACAACTCCTGACGAATATGCTAAAGAAGTTGAAAATGACGACTAAGCAATTCTATACCATGCGTAAACTGTCATGTAAGGTGGCATGTATTCTTTACTTTGTCCCGTTGTTTGCGTATATCCTGAAACGAAATGTGTATGGTTTCCTTCTCCCTGAGTGTCACTCCAGTAACAATTTATAGCAAACTTAACCGTCTTTAACATCATATCCTTTACCTTTTGTCATTCCTGACCAATCCCAATATCTATGCTTATGCCAACCTGCTTGAGATGTACTTAAATCTATGTAGTGACTGTGTGCAGGTAAATTTTCACCTGAAATCGTTTTACTTCCACCTGTTTCCTTTGAAGAGTTTGCACAATACAAAAACCTGTCGACTATTTGTTCCCATGCACCAACACCAAACATTACTTGAGGACCTCTTGCTTCCATAGATGTATAAATAGAACCTACTGGGTTCATTAAATCAAACATATGAGATATTATAGGATTGTCTCTTTTGAACTTAAAATATAGTGCAACTATTTCAGGTTTCTTCTGGTTTGTGTCAGAATATTTTTTATAATATAATCTTATGTTTTCAGGGTAGGTAAAATCTTGACTATAATATTTATTTCTGTCATCTGTATAATAATATACTATTCTCGTTTTTTCTATTGCATTATATCTTTTATATCTATAATAATCTAAATATAATGTTAGCTTTTGTTCATCTACATGTGGTGTTCTGTCGTCATCTCCATAGTCATAATAATATGGTGCTGGAGCTGGGTCAGGCAATGTCATATCTGCCATTTCATAAACTCTTAAATATTTCTTTTGTTCGTCTCCATATAAGTTTAAGTAGCAGTTGTTGTCTAATGGAACTTTAACTTGTATACCATCATTCTTTTTATAGCTTACATACATTTCATTGTTGTTTTTCGGAATGAGTTTACACCGTGTACCATTTTTTAAGGACTGTACAAACTGCCATCTAAAATATTTATTTTCTTCATTGACAGAAAAGTCACCAACAATAGTTTCAATATTTTTTGTTGTTCCTATCAAACTTTGGTATATTTCATTGACATATGTTTTATCTGCTTTCTTTTCAAGGCTAACGTTTAAGTCTGTTATTTCAGATATAGAATGTGTATGTCCAACGTCACTTTTACTGTTTAAGGTTTCTTGTAAGTTTGTAATATTTGCAATGGTATGTGTATGTCCAACGTCACTTTTCCTGTTTAAGGTTTCTTGTAAGTTTGTAATATTTGCAATGGTATGTGTATGTCCAACGGCACTTTTACTGTTTAAGGTTTCTTGTAAGTTTGTAATATCAGATATAGAATGTGTATGAGTCTTATCTGCTTTTGTCTCTAATGTTTCCTTAAGACTTGGTATTTGGTTAATATAATGTATATAAGTCTTTTTAGAATATTCTTTTTCAGCTCTTGTCACTTCACTTGACATTTTATTGTCAACATATGTTTTGTCTGCTAGTTCAGGATGAGTATGTTCTTTTGTTGCATAAGCATTGTTAGCTCTTTCTTCTTCTTTTGCTATTGCATCGTCTACATATTCTTTGTCAGCTTTGTTGTCAACATCTGCTT